TAATTTTTCATAATTCTGGCCAGAATTACGGAAAATTTATGGCAGAAATTTTCACGGACGTTTGAGTTTAAACGCTACCTAAATGAAACACATATTGCATTGTAGCCAAGGACTAGGGCTTTCGATCTATCATAGAAATGTTTTAGTAGAAAATCGTTTTCTGTCGCATAAATCATGGCTGAAGTCAAAAAACGGAATTTTTTTTGCGTAATTACTGTAGTAAAATTTAACTCATAAACTAAGCTCAGTGTTTCAAAAAAAATATAATACAATATACCTATAAAAATTTACCACACAAGCTTTATTATATTTACAAATAACTTAAAATTTAGTATTTTAATCAATATTGGCGAAGAATTCATATAATTTAAATTTTTTTAACAAGCAAAGATTGCTTGACATAAGAGACCATAAATAAAAAAAATACCACAATATAAAATATATGGAGGAATTTCTTTAAAAGAAAGTAACTTAAATTTTTCTTAATTGTTTGACTTACTTGAACACATTAAAAAACTAACGATGAGTTATAGAAATAAAAAAAATAAAAATGTCATAAACTCGATCCTTTTCTTCAAAAACCTCCATTTGAATGATCAATCTCCGTCAGTATTGTGTTAAATCTTGATGAATTTTAATATCCCCAATTAACGATTTACATTCTTGCACAAATGAAATTGACATGAAATAACTCTGTAAAGCTCTTTCATACCAATACAATGCTTTTTGTAAATTTTGTTGACATCCTACTCCAAAATGATAAAACTGACCGAGGAGCATTTTACCAGGACCAGGACATGAAGGGAAGTTTTCACAAACTTCTTTTATTAAACGAAAAGCTTCATCATAATTTGGAGGTATTATAACTGTGCCATCTATAAGCGATAACGCATATTTCATTTTACCTCCCCAATAATAATTATTTTTGCTCGAGCGATGATACCATTTAAGGGCCTCCATTTCATCTTTGTTAGTTCCAATCCCAGCTGATTTACAATTACCCACAAATTTCATTCCTTGTGGATCACCCAATTCCGCAAGTTGTATATATAAATTAAAGGCACGGCAATGATCAATTGTAGTACCAAGACCATATCGAAGACAATAAGCAAGATTAAACATTGCATCGGTGCTTCTGAAAATACAATAATGAAATAATTCATAATTTATAATGATATTTTAGAAAAATAAAAAATAAAGTAAGAAGGTGTTTGTTACCCTAGGTGCACAGCTTGTTCATAATAATTAACTGCACGTGACTCATCAACTTCCACTCCAATGCCCATTTGAAAACAGATACCTAATTGACAGAAGCTCGCCGAACTTGGAGGATTTAATTCAACCAATTCCAAGTATATTTTAACTGCCTTTTTTTCATCCCTGGAATTAGAAATGGGGAATTTAAATAATTTGAATTTAAAATTCTTTCGGATAAATTTAATATAAATTACGTACTTATCTACCCCGAGTCCATGTTGGAGACAATAGGCTACCTGATGTTTGGCACGTGTCAAACCCAGATTTGCCGCCTTTAGGAAACAAGAAAATGCCAAAAAGGGGTTTTGAGGTTTCACAGAGTGAAGGAAATATTGTCCTTGTTCATAATAATAATCCGCTTGTTGAGACAAGTCAATAATAGAATCAGAAGTAACTATTGGTAACACGTTGGGTACGAATTTAGGTGATGTTGGGGTTAGAGGATATAAATAATTATTTGTCGTTGCAAATTTCGATTCCTTTTTGGTATCCAATTCTAAGAAAATGAATGTTATTTATATTTTTAGATTATATCATTCTCGAAACGGTCGATAAAATTAGGAGAAAGAATGATTGATATTTTACCTTCTGGGATAAAAATGAGGTTATTATCATAATACTTTAATATCGATATAAGTGAAAATAACGGTAAGCATAAAAGATTCTACTTTAAAAATATTTGATATAAATTAGCATACCTCAGTTTTAAAACCGTTCGAAGGACAAGGTTTTAAGAAATTTTCCGTAAAATTATATTGCGAAGAATATAATGTGGACGCAGTATTTTCTTGTAAAGTTGGTTGAGGATTTAGTGAATACATATCAAGTTGTTTCGTGGAATCAAAAAATGAGGATGTTGCTGTAACGGGGGGAGTTACCGATTGCATTAATTTATTATTGGTAGGAACATTTTCTGACGGAAATATGGAGTATACGGTATCCATTATTTATAATTAATTGATCTAATATTTAGAGAAAGAAAATGAAGTTGGTTTTTTACTTGAAAAGCGGTAAATGTTGCTCACAAGTTCATAAAACAAAATGAAGAAAAAACAATGAACGGAAAAAAAAAAATCGATTCAAAGTTGATTATCCGAAATCAATTTTATTATTTATTATTATTTATATATATTTTTTTTCCACATGTTTATTTTTATTTTTATTTTGGTAAACAAACAAAACTAAAATTTATGTATAAAAAAAAGGAACGACAATGTACAACTTCATATAACTTCATATTACTCTTTTTCAGGGGCATTCTCTTTACTTTCTTTACTGATAATGTACAATATTTCCTATTAATAAATCATATTGTAAAAAATTTTTGTTTCCATCAACTTTAATAAGATGTTTACTTTTTCATTTGAGTTGAATTATAGGTATTATTTTTTTTTTTTTTCAAAATTTTATCTCAAAAAGCTTTTGGTTATTAATAAAAATGTAGAAAGTGCTAGAAATGTACAAGATTATAAAAGTGAGCATGCATGCATTAAACTACATAATATTATATAATGTTATACATAATTCAAAAGAACAGGTGTTAGAGAGATTAATCCGATTTCTTTATTTAAAAGGTTAGGAATGTGACTTCATTAATTGCGTAAATGATTATGAATAAATCAAAAGAATGTTGTGGAATGAATAGGTAATTCGAGATTATTCAAGAATAAAAAAGAATTTTTCGGTGATCTAAATTGATCTGATTGGTTAAATCAAAATTCGATTTACCACTCGAAAAAATTTTCACCACTTCCTTATATATGGGCAATAATTGTATTTTAACAGATAAGAGAAAATAATTGTTAACGTTACCTCATTTTTCATTTTTTTATGATTTAAATATACGACTCTTGATTTGTGAATTTCTAAAATCCCTTGCTCTCAGAAGTATAACAAAATGTCCGTCGTAGGTATGAGATACTTAAGATGGAAAAGAGAGTTTTATTTAATAAACCGATCATAAATAACATTTATTGTTTTTAAAGGCATCGACTTTGGTAACCTCCAATCCAAAATTGCTGTTGCACGCAATCGTGGAATTGATGTTATTTGCAACGAAGTATCAAATAGAGCTACTCCGTATGTGACCTTTAGAAAATGAATTATTTGCATATTTATTTAGGAATTATTATAAATTCATTATATTCTTTCTTCATACGTTAATTAGGACTTTAGTCTCGTTTGGACATAAAAATAGATATTTAGGTGAAGCAGCTAAGACTCAAGAGATCTCAAATTTCAAAAATACAGTTGGTTCTTTAAAGCGTCTCGCTGGTCGTAGTTTTCATGATAAAGAAATCCATGAAATAGAAAAACAATTTATTAATGCAGATTTAGTGGAGGAGAATGGTCAGATCGCTGTAAAGGTACATTTTAATTTTTAAATTATTATAATAAAAGAACGGTTACACCTGATTTACGCGTCATTCCTTAGAATCTATTTACTAATTTCCATTTATTGTTGTACAGGTCCAATATCTCGGCGAGCAACGTATTTTTACCATTGAACAATTGATTAGCATGTATTTTACCAAGCTCAAGGATATTACTTCTGCGGAACTTAAAATTCCTGTTTCTGATGTGGTAATTTCCGTGCCTGGTTGGTTTACTGATGTTCAACGTCATTGTATCCTTAATGCCGCGGAAATTGCCGGATTAAATTGTTTACGTTTAATGAATGATACTACTGCTTCAGCTTTGGGATATGGTATCACAAAACAGGATTTGCCCGAGGAAAAAGAGAATCCTCGTAATGTCGTGTTCGTTGACATCGGGCATTCATGTTATAGCGTAGCAATTGTTTCTTTCATCAAGGGTCAATTAACAGTCAAAGCTACTGCATATGATAGACATTTCGGTGGTCGTGATTTTGATCAAGCATTGGTAAATCATTTCGCCGAAGTTTTTAAAGGGAAATACAATATTGATGTTAAATCAAATAATAAAGCACTTTTTCGACTTCGTATGGGTGTAGAAAAACTTAAAAAAGTTCTTTCTGCTAACACCCAATCTCCTCTCAGTGTGGAATCCATAATGAATGATATTGATGTAAATGCTATAATTTCTCGTCAGGAATTTGAAGATTTGTGTAAACATCTTCTTGATCGAGTAGAAATACCTCTTGCACAAGTACTTCACGATTCAGGACTGAAGCTAGAGGATATTCATTCTGTCGAAGTAGTCGGTGGTACAACACGTATCCCAGCAGTTAAAGAAAGAATTTCGAAATTTTTTGGGCAAGAATTGAAGTATACTCTTAATCAAGATGAAGCAATCGCTCGTGGATGTGCATTTCAATGTGCAATTCTATCTCCTGTGTTTAAGGTTCGCGAGTTTTCAATTCAAGATGTTACTCATTATCCTATTAAAATTGTATGGGAGAAAATCCCAGAAATTCCGGATGAAGAGTCCGAAATTATTGTATTTCCTAAACATAACAGTATTCCATCCACGAAAATATTAACATTTTATCGAAAACAACCATTTGACATTGAAGCTTATTATGCTGAACCTGATAAAATTCCTTCAGGGATAAGTCCCTGGATTAGTAAATTTTCTATTAAAAATGTCGAGCCTACAGATAAGGGAGATCTGAGTATTGTTAAGGTCAAGATTAGACTTAATCTGCATGGAGTTCTTTCTTTAGAAAATACCCATATTGTAGAAGAAATTATAAAAGAAGAAAAGGAAGAAATAAGTGAATCTCAACAAACTCAACCAATGGAATTGGTTAATGATGCCAAACCCGACGAAACCCCAAAACCTCAGGAAGCACCCAAACCTCCGAGCCCTAAAAAAGTCAAGAAACTTGTGAAGAAAGCAGATTTACCCTTTGTTAGCTTTAATGGCGGATTGGACAAATCTACCATTGCATCACTTAGAGAACTCGAAGGACAAATGATTTCAACCGATAAACTTGTCGCTGACACAGAAACTCAAAGAAATGCTCTTGAGGAATATGTATATGATGTGCGCTCAAAAGTTGAAACTATATATTCAGAATTCGTTAATCCAGCTGAAAAAGGGAATTTTATTAATCTTCTTAATGAAACTGAAACTTGGCTTTATGATGAAGGAGAGGATTCGATGAAATCAGTTTATGTGGAAAAATTAGAACATTTGAAAAAATATGGTGGACCAATTGCTGAACGCCATCGTGAGGATGAGGAACGACCAAAGGCAGAAAAATTATTACGAGAAAGTATACATTCTTTAATCGTTAGTTGCACATCTGATGAAAGGTTTGCACATATTCCAGAAGACGAAAAAAAGAACATTGTGGAGAAGGCTACCAAAGCATTGGATTGGTTAGATGAAAAAATTAAATCTCAAGAAAATTTACCAAAATATCAACTACCTGTTTTCTCGTCCCGCGATGTTTTAAAAGAACGCGAGGTTCGTCGTGTTTTATCACATTTTTCTAATATTTTTCAATTATATTTTTATTATTATTATTATTATATATTTTTTTTTAACTTTCATACTTTTTTTAATGTATAGAATTTAGTACATTTTGCTTCACCAATCTTATCAAAACCTAAACCCAAACCAGAACCCAAACCGGAACCCAAACCAGAACCTAAACCTGAAGAAACAACTCCAGCTCCTGGTGCTGATGCAGCATCAGAAAATATGAACACGGAAACAGAAAGTGGAGAAAATAAACCTAATAAACCTACTGAAGAAACAAACACAAATCTAGAAAATAATGGAATGGATATTGACTAATTATTAGATTGAATTCATTTCAAAAACATTTTTTTTTTTTAATATACACAACAAAAGAACAAGTTTTACTATTTGCTAGATATATCAGTTTTAGAGTCGTAAATATATATATTTTTTATATTATTGCAGATAAATTTTTTGCATTTTTTTTTTTTTTTTTTTTTTTTTTGATGATTGTGTACATGTACAATAAAAATAAATAAATAAATAAAAGATGTTGCTTTGAAATTAATTAGAACACATTAATAAAAGATAATTAACTAACCCTTGAAATTGATCTTCAAGTTGGGATTTTTCTCACGTTGACGAAATATCGACCCTTGAAATTATTAATTATTTGCATATATTTTTTTTTTATTTCAGTTTTGGGAAAATCGTATAGTTATTTTTATCATGGTCCGTTTCTTTTAAGTATAAACTTTTATTGATGGAAATGATGGAAGACAACGATTATTTATAATATTTATATCGATATTATAATATTAGGGTGCAGTAAAGCGTTTTCCTTACCCTAAGGAAGTTTGGTAGGTGCGACCAGACCAGATTAGGGTTTTGCTAAAATATGTTCAAATTTTTCTAATAAAATAAATAAATTATGTAATAAAAAATAGGTCTCCCGGTAAGAAAGTAAAAAAATTCATTTTGCTTTTTTTTTTTTTATGATTCTTTAATGTGTTTTTATAATAGCTGGTGGTTGGTGGACTCGACCCGCCAATTGGAAAAGTAATACAGTTATAGTTGCTGCTGGAATGAGTGTGATCATCGCGGTAGTGTGGAAAATTTCAGCGGAACGCGAGGTAATTATGCATTAAAAAATTCATAAAAAAAAAGCAATTCAAACTATTCAAATTATTCAAATTATTAAAATTATTAAAATTATTAAAATTATTAAAATTATTCAAATTATTAAAATTATTCAAATTATTAAAATTATTCAAATTATTCAAATTATTAAATTATTAGTGGCGACACAACAAACCTAATCGGTGGATTCCTTCAATGATAGTACGTAGTTTTTTTGTTGTTGTTGTGAATATGCATTAAAATATTATTTGCTAATTTTACTTTTTTAACAAATTAGTGGTCGAAACAATTCACGGATGGAGAATATAAAGAGTTAAAATTTGCAGAAAACGAAAAAGAAAAATGAAATAAATTATACATTATTTTCTTTTATAATATAATATTTTCATGAATCCAATTTATTTAATAAAAATTTTCTATTGACGCAAATGTTAATATATAAATTTACATTTATGATTATATTTATTTTCGCAGAAACTCCAAACATATTGTCTTTAAATTTAAATTTAAATTTAAATTTAAATAAATAAGGCTTAAATTTCCTTTTTTTTTCATCTTTTAATTTAAAGATGGTCATCTATCCATTTCTTCTTGTATTTTTTTAAAATATTTTCTATCTGTTTTTATTCCCCCATATATTACATTGCTTATCCACTGCGCAATGTGACCAAAAACATATTTTTCCATTATCCAAGATATAATAAGGTCCATAAAAGCAATAATTACTATCCACCATCGAAAATAAGGATAAATTGGAACAAATTCAAAGATATTATTTATAATTTCAGAAGGAAACAAAATAATGAAAATGGTGAGAAAGGTGAATAAAGCTGTAGTAATAAGAAAAGGGACTATCGGTAATCGGAAAAGAGATATTATTTATTAGAATCAATTATAATCAAATGGAATCAAATAGAACAAATAATAATAAACTTTTAACAAACCATTAGTGATCATTGGTTTACGGTATGGAGGTCCAACACTAAACACTGCCGCAATTAAAATATATTGAAAACAAGATAACCAGAATAATACGGTGTTATCCTGACATTCTATATTTTTTTCGTCCGGATCGAAAGGTGGTGATTCATACCTTTAAATGACAAAAATCAATGATAAAAATTGGTGAAAATTTTAAAAGTATATAGGTTATAATAAATAATAATTAAATAATTATTATTATATTTATTATATTTATTATAATTTATTATATTTACCATGGTTGTTTATGTAATGATATAAAAACAAAAAATTGGAACCCTGATTGAATTATGATTTGGCCTATCAAAGAAGTTAATACTTTTTTTGATACCAAACTGGCCGTGGGTCTTTTAGGGTATATTTGTGGATATGGCTTGGTGCGTCCCACTAAATTGAAAACAATAATTTGAATTCTTTGAATTGAAAATATTGAAATATTACAAACAATAAAAACAAATAAATAAATAATCATACTCAAAATCGCGATTGGTAACACTACGAACAAATCTATATAGAGAAACTTGAAAATAATAATAATAATAATAATATAAATTATTAGAAATCTTATCAAATATCAAAAGTTATATATATATATATTTAAATTGGAATTTACTTACTTGAGTGTCCCCCAAATTAGATGCATAAGCGTATAAAATACTAACAGTTGTAAATTGAATGATGCTATACAGTGCCATGAATTTGAAACAACTGAAGCTTGTGACTAAGGCGGCTCGGCCCTCTCTACCAAATCAAATAAATAATAATAAAAATAATAATAAATAATAATAATTAAATAAATAAATAAATAAATAAATAAATAAATAAATATAAATATATATATATATATATATATATAAAAACAAAACATTTCAAAATGAGTAGTAAAAATATTACTTGATTACTTCGATTACACATCCAATATCCATATTTCGACTCGTAAAAGGAGCTGCTACAGATGCTTCTGCGTCAGAAAGTGACAACCCTACATCAGCAGCTTTAAGTGCACCGCAATCATTTGCTCCATCACCACAAAATCCAACACAGTATCCAATTTCTTGAAGTTTTTCCACCAATTCATGTTTCTCATCAGGCGACATACGCGCAAAAATTTGTCCCTTAATTAACATCTGTTCAAATAAAACAAAAAAAGTTTTAAAACTTCAAAAAAAAAAAGAAAAAAAAAATATAGATTTATATATTATGTACCCGATACAATGTCATTTCGTCCCCATAATCAACTATCCACCGAAAAACATCACCCGTTACGGCAAGATCATATTCAAAAGGATCGACTAACGAGAATTCGGAATAATTTTCTGATGATCGAATTGGCTTGAAAAAATTATTACAAAAAAAAAAAAAAATCAGTATAAATAGTTATAAATAGTTTACAAATAGTTATAAATAGATATAAATAAAAGTTAATTAACAATGATGACAAAATACCTTTAGTGACTGCGAATCCAATAAATCATTTGAATTATCTAAACTTTCCCAAACAATGGATGACCTTGGATTCACAGAAGATCCTTTAACAAATTGTGGAATATAAGCTTTTGTATTTTTGCTAATCAATCCACATTCACGAGAAACACTAATTGCGGTTAATACATTATCTCCTTATGAATTATAAAATATAAAATGATAAATGATTTAAAAAAAAAGAAATCAGATTCAGTAAAATGAAGAATGAAAAATGAAAAATGAAAAATAAATTATTAATAAAAATAATCGTATACCTGTACACATTATTTGTCGAATTTTAGCTCTCTTAAGAGTTTCAATAACAGGAGGGGTTTCAGGTTTCAATTTATTTTCAAATATGATAATTCCCAAAAATTCGAGGTCCTGTTCCACTTGTTCCCTTTATATAAAAATATATATATATTTATATTTATATTTATAAAATAGGTTGACATGTATATAACATCTAATGTTATATAATTTACATCTTTATATTAGAAGTATATTAGCTTAAAACTCATATTACTATAGTAATATATTTTAAAGCAAAATATACTTCTTGGGTGAAATTTAAATTTAATCATGACATTGATATTTTGTTCAAACCTTTTAATTTTTTGTGCCTTTATCCAACTAAGATTATTAAAACTCTTGTAAGCGCACGCGATGATCCGAAATCCATTATGTGTATAATAATTTAATAATTCATCATAATCTTTTGGAACTTGGTAATATGTAAATAGTTTAAAATAATAAATAATAATAATAATATAATAATAATAATAAATAATAATAATAATTAATAATTTATAATAAATAAATAAATAATAATAATAAATAATAATATATAATAATAACAATAAATGTAAATTCGTATATTGATGCCTTACGCGATTCTGCTCTGCAAATATCACGCATGATTTCAGGGGCACCTTTAACATATACTTCTATTGTAGGACTTCGTAAACGTTTAACAAGTACGCTCATTCGACGTAAGGATGCGACAAATTCAAAAGTTCTAATAATTCCAAATTCCAAAAATGTACTAAGCTAAAAAATTAATAAATGAATAAAATTTTGATAATGTCAATTAATTAATTAAATAAATAAATAAAATAATTAATTAAATAGAATAAATAAATTAAACAAATTAAATAAATAAATAAAATAAATAAATTAAATAAAATAAATAAATTAAACAAATTAAATAAATAAATAAATTAAATAAATAAATTAAATAAATTAAATAAATTAATAAATTAAATAAATTAAATAAATTAAATAAATAAATAAATAAAATAAATAAATAAATAAATAAATAAAATAAATAAATAAATAAATAAATTAAATAAATTAATAAATTTTTTTTTAAAAAAAGACAAACCATTCTAAGATATTACCTTTCCTTCGCCATTCCTTTCAAAATGATTCAATACATCCGATAAATCAAATTGTTTACTTCCTGGTGGTCTTACAATTGTTGGCAATATCCCACTGGTACTAATCGCAAATGCTGAAGAGTTACTAATGGTTGATTCTGACGTACCATTAAAATGATTAGAATGTCGGGAAATTTCTTGTCCACTTTCTTCAAGTATCCAATTGGTAAAATTAAACATCTTCAAATCCAATGGATCACCAATTAATTCACCGTTAACTAATTTAAGGGAATGGCACGTTGTCATAGCATAAAGAAGTGGGGTAAATATTTTTTTGGAATTTAAGATATTCAAAATCTCATCATGATTATTATGATTATTATGATTATTATGATTATTATGATTATTATAATTGGTATTCGGAGTATACGACAATGCATCAACGGATGTATGAATCTCGGAAAACCTAAAAAGAATTTAATTATTATTTGAAATGTTAAATACAGTAAAAATAAAAAAAATAAAAATAAAAAAAAATAAAAAACCTAAAATAAAAAAAAAAAAAATAAAAAAAAAAAATAAACGTGATGAACATTAAAAACCTGTTCTGATTTTGATCAACGAAGCGAATACCCAACACATCTAAACCATCTTCTGTAAGAGTACCTGTTTTATCAAAACACATAACATTTAATTTCCCACCTACATTAACTCTAAGTTAATGATCATAATAAATGCATTAATAATAAAGTGTTAATATAAATTATTAATATAAATTGTTAATATAAATTATTAATATAAATTGTTAATATAAAGTGTTACATAAAAATAAAAATACAAAAATTTTACCTTGCTGGGCTAATACAAAATATTTTTGTTTTTCTCAATCTCTCAATAGCAAAGCTTGTGCCAATACTCATTGTTGTAGGTAAAGCTGGTGGAATAACGATAGTAATCAAATCTAAAGCACGAACAATTATCAAATGAGGATCAACTTGCATCCTAATGAAATTGTATGCGCTAATAATAAAGCCAATCCCAGCTAAGAATATTTTTTTTTATTAGATGAAATAATATAATAATATTAATAAGTATGTGTAACCATAAGGCTAAAACGACTACTAAATAATAATAATAATAATAATAATAATAATAATAATAATAATAATAATAATAAAAATAATAATAATAATGAAATAATACCAATTATAGATAATACACCAATGAATCGAAATGAATCACGATAGAATTTGAATTTGTTTGGCCTTGGAAATAATATTGATCGAATCAAGGCGCCCTTAGTAGTATTGAATCCTATATTTTGATTTTTTTTTTTTTATTAAGCTTTATTCATATATTTTCTCTTATATTTTGAATATATTTCCAATTGCTAACCTGTTCGTACAACCATCCCCAACGCTGCTACTTCTTCTTCATTATTTTCATCCCCATTAGAATTAACTCCTCCACCTTTGGCTTTACGAACTCGAACAATTTTTGTTCCCGAAAACAAAAAATATTTAGAAACTTCTGGTCGCACATTAACGACGCTTAAATCCAAAATTCGCAATGTTCCATCCGTGATTGGAAGTTTTGACACTGGAACAGACTCACCTTAAATTAAAAAGTATTTAAAATATTAAATATATTTCATTTTTTAAGTATAACAAATATCAAAAAAAAAAAAATAAAAAATAAAATAAATGTTTTAAAGTTTACCAGTCAACATGCTTTCATTCACAATGCAATCGCCAGACAATAATATAGCATCACATGGATATATGTGCAAATTTGAATCTGATATTTCAAATACATCTCCAGGCACTAACTTTTCTGATGATATATATCTCCCTTTAAGTTTAATTTAATCAATTTAATTAATTAAATTAAATTAATCAATTTATTATATAATTTTTAATCACATCAAAATCGTTACAAATCGTTATCTAATCTTTGTAAAATTAATTATAGTAAACTTACAAAATCCTCCACGAAATACTCGTACATGACAAACAAACCTTGACATCTCTCGAAGCCTCCTCATTGTCTATATTTAACGAATGAACGAACAAAAGAATTATTAGAATTATTTGATTTTTTTATCAATGATGATAATAATAAAATAACCAAAATGTGTAGCATTTCTAACCTTTTTTGTATCAATTAATGTCGTAGTGACGCTTGTCACTGATATGATAAGTATACAAATTGCATAATAATAATATTCATCCAGAAACCAAAGTATCATTGAAAAAACTTGAAAGATGTAAAAAGGATGTAAAATCTTAAAAAGAGGAAAAAATTTATTTTAAATTAATTGTATTAATTATATTACATTTGTATAAACATAAAGTAAGTAAATAAAGTAAGTAAATAAAGTAAGTAAATAAAGTAAATAAATAAAGTAAATAAAGTAAAGGCAAACCTCATCAAATAATAGTTGAAGAACATTTTTTTCTTTAGTATCAATTAAATTATTTCCAAATATTATCTCGCGTTCATTATAAATTTCATGAGTTATTCCTTTTTTGAGTAGTTTTACAGATGTCCATGTAGGATCTTTCCAATAACTGTAATAAAGTTTAATGTGATTAATGTTGAAATTAATTTAATTAAATATTTTTTAACATATAATAATTTAATTCAAGAAATTGCGTGCCTATTCTGCAAAAATTTCTTCAACACAGGATTGTAAATAAATCGAATGTAACGGTGATCGAAGTAATGCAAATGAAGCAAAATTTGGTCTGAAGGTAACGAGGCAAATTTGGTGGCATCATCATCATCTTTCAGTTGACTGACCGAGAAAACGGATGAAATTGTCCCACCATAATATTTCCGTAGAACATATTCAATTGAATATTCACCCCATTGATTCTTTATTAAGATCCATTCTGCTTTACCCATTTCACACTCACTGCCAACCCACAAAACCCATAATCTTGGAATCCATCGAAATAACAAATATAAAATTCCTCCAGTCAAAATACAAAGAATATAATAAGAATAGAGGCGATATCGATGGAATTTATATCCTATCAAGAAAAGCTAAAAAAAAAAATAGCTCAAAGATATAAATACTACGAAAACAAACGCCAATATAATTGGAATAAAAAAACAAAAATTATTCAAAATACGTTGAGATCCTCTTCTTCCAAATAAACATTTTGTATGGATATCTCGTTACCTAAAAAGAATTTAATTAAAAAAATTATGATAAGAAAATGTTAAGTTAATAAGTAAATGAGAAAATTTACATAAAAACAATAATAATAATTAATGCCTACCAATATCAAGTACTGTTTTCCCTGTTTTTCCAGACACATTTTTTCTTAACAAAGGTTTATTATCAACTTCATGATCTTCTTCTTCTTCAAATATTGAATTCGAGTTTTGTTTTAGACTAACTAGATCATCGCTCCATCCATATTGATTCGAGAATGAATTACGTCGGGCATCACCTTCTGTAGATGATGATTGGGGTGTGATTACCATACTCTCTTGATTAGCTTGATTAGTCGTTGTACCTGAACAAAATTCAAATATAAATTCCAAAATTATTTTTCGTTAATATAAAATCTTGGAAGATCAAGCATGAACAGGTACCTTCTTTTTTAAGTTCGCTACGTTTTGTCATCGAAATTCGGGCGGCATGTGAGGCGAAATAGCGTTAATCGCTCAACTTGAAAGTAGAAATTAATTCCGCAGCGCTTTTATTTATTTGGTTCTTTTAAACGTGTCAGCCATATTAAAAAAAAAATTCTATATAATCACAAAATATTTTATAATCACATTTCTCTAAAAATAGGTGATTATAGAGGATCCGTATCTGTGATAGATCAGAAAATTTCACGTGAATATTTATACAGACCAGGGAACAGGTTAAGGGAATTCACAGATAATGCAAGATTTTAAGATTTCTATCGAAGAAATTCATCGAGTCAATCAATTACTCTTAATAGAAAAAACCTGAACCGAGATAATCAAGGTTACCTATTTTTTTTATTCATAATTAAAATTAATTGAATTATATTACAAACTCTACTTATAAATCTTCGGGATTCTTTCTAATTATTATAGTTATATAAAATAATTTTTTTATAAAAAATCTATATTGTTATTATAATTTATTCTATCTTGTTGTTATTCGACACGGTTATTATAAAGGAGGGAAGAGAAAAGGGGAGAGGAAGAGAAGGGAAGAGAAGAAAAGGGAAAAGAAGGGAAGAGAGAAAGGTATATAGAAAAGCACTAAAAAAAAAAGCCTTTACTACATATTTTTGATTTTTATTATTGAGGCAACAAGGCGTGATGTGTTTTGAATCTATTCTACAGATAAAAAAGATAAAAAAAATCTACATATATAAAAATATATAAAAGAGTATATATTAAATATATGAATAGAAGGCATTTTTACACATATATATTTTTACTCGTAATTCTATAATATGAAAAATAATATAAAAAAGGAATAAATAAAGAGAAAAAAAAATCAATAATAATTCTTAAAGGGTTTACATAAATTTGTTTTAATTATTTTTAATCTTAAGGGTAAACCAACACGATAATCTATATTATTGTACACAAATGAATCAATAAAATTCTCGTATTAGAAAAGAAAGAAAAGGAAAAAAAGGAAAGAAAAGAAAGAAAGAGAAAAGAAAGAAAAGAAAAGAAAAAAAAGGAAGGTTTTAGCCAATGTTCACATTAATCATCATCATTATTATTATTTTATTATAGTTTATAAAATAAAAATAAAAAATAAAAAAAAATAAAAAAAAAAAAACATTAAAATTTTTGATTAATATTACGTTGTTGACCATCACCACCACCTCTGCCAAAACATTCATCATGTCTTGTAAATTGCATTCCGTTACCATTAAATTCTTGAATAGATGAAGTTTGAGTTTGTTGCGGATAACTTTGATGATTATGTGAATACCAATCAAGTGATCTTGTTTCATATTCATCTTTAACTTGTACGGAATGATTATTATCAGATTGTCGTTGGTTTTGATGATGTTGATTTATTGAATTTATGGGGTGATGTGAAAAATGGTGTGAGGTTCCTGTTGTTGTTGTTGTTGTTGTTGATGTTGATGTTGATGATGATGATGAGGAATGATTGTAAAAAGGGGAATTATGATGATTTTGATAATCTGTTGAAGGAACAGATTGTCTAATAGAAGATGGAGGTCCTGTATTCATTTCAGATGAAATTGATGTAAAATGGGATCGATTAGGATTTCTATAATGAGGCACCTGTTGACCTGCAACGGCGGGATTAAGGGGAGGGAGACTAAATGGTGGATTCTGATGATGATTATTAGAATGTTCAGCGTGATCATGTAAAATTGGTTGTGGTTGTGTCTCTATACGATTCATATATTGCATATGTTGCAACTATTGTTATTATTTAAAAAAAAATTTTTTTTTAGATTAATTTAAAAATATAATAAAAATATCAAATATCAAAAAATATCAAATATTAAGAAATACCTGATGTTCATGTAAAGAACTAGTAATAGGATCAGTCAACATTTTTTGATCAACCGGAATACTAGATGACTAAATCAAAAGATTTATTAGTACACATGTGTCCAATAACAACACAAACTTAGATTTCAATCACTTGTGTACCTAATAATGCAAGATAGGTTTTGGTCTATTTCTCGCGACAAACATTCGATGAATAATTAGAAGAAAAGAAAAATCTTACAGTATCAAATTGTGATCCTCCTTGTGATAATCCCAATCCAAAGCCATAAGGATTTTGATCTTGATATTCCATCTGTCAATAATAATAATAATAATAATAATAATAATAATAATAATAATAATAATAATAAAATAAAAATAATAAAAATAATAAAAATAATGACAATAAATGATAATATAATAAACAATTATAACAATTTATAACAATATAACAATAATAACAATATATAACTAATTAAATAATAATGATTATTACCAAATGTTAATTTTTTTTTATTATTAAAAGAAAAGAAAAAAAAAAATCACACCTTCTCAGTCTTTACATTCATCTTTTCTTCTCTTGGCACTATGTCTATCAAAAAATCAAACATATCTATCTTTTTAATAGCCGACGCGATATCTGATCTTTGTAATGTCCTCCTCTTGCACTCCTCGGCATTGAGCCTATTACAAATTTTTATTTTATTTTTTTTATAAATATTAGCAAATTATGTAAATCATGTTATATTATATCTTTATTTTGATTTGATGATTTGATGTATAAAATTATTTACCATGCCCTCATCGTCAACTCTGTAATAAAAACATCACAAGCTTTGGCAAATAAAATAGGTGCCTAATATAATAATAATTAATAATTTTTATTAATTTAAATATTTATAGATTAAATATTATTATTATTATGAGTGATGCTAATTTTCACCAGGGGGGAAATTTCACCGTAGGCAGAATTACATAATTCCTGGTCAATCCCCTAACCCTACCAACATTAACTTAATTCTGCCCACCGGTTATATTTTCCCTCCGGTTATATGTAGTTTTTTTCTATTATTATTATTATCATTATTATTATTAATTTGTATTAAATTTAAAATTAAATTTAATTTATATTAATTTGATCAAATTTAATATATAATATAAAATTCTTTCAGAATTGTCAAAAATGGATATAATGATAATTCAATAAAACTTACTTCTGCGCTGATCATCTAAATATGGAAAAAAGAAATATTAAATCGTGTAAGTATAAACAATATAAACAAAACCGTTGAGTAAATATTAATATAATATTAGAGTAAATATAGGTTGATCAAAAAATATTAAAGAAAAGAAAGACAACCACGCGTACAAGAGAATCACCAGAATTCGGTGTAACCCTCCCTCGCACACATAAAATATTGATTATCAACATTTTTTTCGTAATCAGTGATGTTCAATAAACTTTACCTTAACTTCTTCATCAGTTTTCATTACTTTTTTGATCCTGGCAAGTGGTAACTGGTGAACCTTGAAATCGTGATCTCCATGTCTTATTTCATTCACTTGTTGTTGCCAAAAATTATCAAGGACGTTATAATGTTGAGGTTGAAATTGATGTTGCATAGGGGGAGGAGGGGCAGCAGCTAAAGCAACTTGTTGCATATTTGGATCTATCATAAGATGTGGAACTGAATTTCCTACAAGTTGGTTTCCTCTTTGTTGTTGCGGAGGTGTTGGTGGTGGTGGAGATTGTTGAGTTAAATAGTGTTGGTTTAAATGATGCGCGTTTGGATCCGCCATAATTATGATTTATTAAAAAAAAAACACTTATAGTTGCGTATGTAGGGAGGTAAATAAATTTTTTTTTTTTTTTTTTTTTTTTTTTTTTGTTTTATGTCTTAATATAAAAAATAATATATAATATAATTATATATATATAATATAATAATTTAACAATTAATATATATATATATATAAATATTTAATATATATTATATATATATATATTTTTTTTGGACTACGCGCACTGACTAATGTGTTACCCGGCCTTGGCAAAGTTTGAAAGGGTATTAACTTTAAAAGGATTAAATATGCTTTGTAAGTGCGTCGTGGCTTGAACTAGTCCTACACAAAGTTCTCTAACTTTTGATCGGCCCAAGTATTGAAGGTAAAGTCAAATTAATAATATGTTAAAGAGAAGGATAATAACGAATCGACCTTTAATTAACTTTTTATTGCATTGAAAACAAATCTAATAACAGGCTTTAACTTTTTTCATTCAACTCCAATTGGAGAGATTTTCGCATTATACCCTAAAAATCTGAATGTTGTGTCCTTTGTGTTTTGTTTGTTATATCGGAAAATCTATATTAATCTTGTATTTTTTCCGAATATATATATATTTATATATTTTTAGCAAAGAGTAAAGATGTTATTATTATTGTTATAATAATAATAATAATAATAATAATAATGAATAATAATTAATATAGACGGAAATGTCAAATATTTCGCGTATAATAATGGAAAATAATTAAAAATAGTAATTTTAAATAATAATATAAAAACCTTAACACGTACGCGCACAAGAAAAAAAAAAAAAAATTTTTTTTTGTAATTGATTTTTTTTTTTTAATTTTTTAATAATAAATAATAATAATAATAATAATAATAATATCTAATTGTATGAGGCAACAAAAAATTCACTCAGTTGTTTATATATAAAAAAAAAAAAAGGTCTTTGGACCAAAATATTGTAAAATGAGATGACAAAACAATTGGCTAACGAATTTTGTTTAATATGGCACCACAGATTATTTATTTATACAGGCAGCGAAACAGGAAGAATTAAACTTGTCGGAATATTTAAATCATGTGCTATTGGTCCATTATATATTTTATTGTTTTTTAATTCAATTTTTTTTATTATAACTCCTTTTTCCTATTCTTCCAATGACTTTTCATATTGTGTAATATCGAAACATATTTGCAGATAATTTTTATTAATGTATGATCCAAGAATGAAAGAACCCTTTCTTGGATTATTTTTCATTGAGTTTTCATTTGTGCATTAAAACCACGCGTTGTTTGATCCCGATAAAATTCCGAAACTTTAAATCTGTGAATTTTTTTTTATATTCAGGAGAGAGAACAATCGGTATTAACCGATGGTCTCTATTCAAATGTTAACGATTGTTGAACAGATTTAGGCAAAAGTTCTTTGAATTTTTCTATCGGAAATTTTAAAGGTCATTTTCAAATCCTAATCGAAATATAATATAAAATACTATATAAAATGATGACAATTAATGATTAGTAATAGTAATCGTAATAGTTTATAGAAATAGTAAAAATAATTATAAATAATATTACTATAAATGATAAATAAGATATTTAATAAACATAATAAATAAATAATAAATAAAATAAATAATAAATAATAATAATAATATATAATAATATATAATATAATATAATAATATAATATAATATAATAAATAAATAAATAAATAAATAAAAAATAATTATCTAATATAAATAACGTAATCTATTATCTTTTATGTCATGTGGAACCTCAATGAGATAATCTTGTCCTTTGATGCAAATGAAAAAATTTCCATCCCCTCATTCCAACATAATGCATAAAGGGGAATTTAAAAAGAGTATGCAGAAGAAATTTCTTGATCATCTAAAGAAAAGATTTACCAAGAATCACTTTGAATATTTTAACAAAGAGAAGAGACTTATGTATGCAATTTGCTCATTATAGTAGGAGTCACATTTAAATATCTTTTTTCAATGTAACCATTTGATGTCAAGGAACCATACATTTTTGGTATCAAAACTTACCAATCAAATATATTTGATATCATTTCTTTTCCGAATATATTACTTAGTTACTTTAATCATTGAGATTAATTTAATTATCGGTATTATTTTATTCCTTTTGATCGATTCTCACTTCTAAAAAAAGATCATTAATTTATTTTTTAATAAATTTATTTCTTTTATTTCTTTGAACGGCAATAACTTTGATTTTTGATGGTGACGCATTATCCACGTTAATACACAACATTTCACAACATGTCGTCACTATTCATGTACATTTAATATATATATATTTTTTTTTGCACACATGTTAAATGCCAGATTAAATGCTTGCAGTTTTATGAAAAAAAATTATTATCCACGCGGAGATAATTTATCAAATAGTTTTATCTTAAAATCTATTTAAAATCTATTTTTAAATATAAATTTAGCAATTATTTTATTAGTATTTAATGAAATTTTTCGTGGACGTCATTTTTAAAGAAATAGTATATTGATCAGTCGATCAACGTTCCAAGTATTTATGTATTTAATGTATTTAATTTATTTATTTATAATAATGTATTTATTTAATAATGTATTTATTTATTTATTTAATTATTTAATTTATTTAATGTATTTAAATGTATATCCGTAAATTCATATCTCATTTATTATATTTTCATTTATTCATTCATTTATTCATATATATTGTTTTTCTACCAATAATATCTTATAATAAATAAATAAATATATAAATATAAATATAAATATTTTTATGGAAATCAATCTATATCATTCTATAATTCTGGTCAAATCATGCATTATATAATTAATGATCGGCTTATAAAAACAATTAAAAATTACACAGATCAGATCAAGATCATAGTTAATTTCTTTAAAAACATAAACAATGCATCCTTTATTTCTATTTATATCAAATATTAAATATTTTTAGTAATAATAATAATAATATTATTATTATTATTAAAATTATTATTAGAATTTCTCTTTTCTATTTTTTTAATATGTAATCATATAACATTTATTGTTTTGATGCAATTAAAAGAAATATCAGAAATATCAGGAATATCAGAAATATCAAAATATCAAAAATATCAAAAATATCAAAAATATCAAAAATATCTTGCTATACCATATTATACAAAAATTAAGCAAAAAACTTATTTATAGATCTATAATTATTTAAAAAAATAAACTGTTTATTTTTGTATACTTTTTAAATAATTTATTCCAATTTGGAACGCAGATTGTAGATCGGGTTTCTATTATTTTTGCAAATGATATTACTTATCCTGAGGGAATTTTACGTATCGTCTTCAACTAAAGATTACATATATTAACGTTATTGGTCTTTGGGAACTCCCTATTTATATAATACAATTAATGAAGAAATTAATGAAATAATTAATGAAGTAATTAATGAAAATTATGATAATTATAATAATAAAAATATTTAAACAATTCATAACTTACATAGCTAATATATTCCGGACTTTCGCATGCTTCATACTCATTTATCAAATCTTGCACACTTTCTCTATTTAAAATTGTAAAGTTTACATTAGAATACTAAATAAAAATGAATAAATCTATTAATTATTGAATATAATGAACATTATTCACATTTATTCATACCTAGCTGCATCAAATTCATCTAAATTGTCCGAAAACATGTCTTCTTTTTTATATTGTTCCAAGAATGCACCACGTTTTCTGAATCTATCATAATGATCACATGTACGTTTCAATAACTAAACAAATAAATATTAGAAAATAATTAAATCAGTTATATTTAATTAAAATTTGTTAATCTTTGTAAATTGATAAATAATTTCATAATTTACCGATGAAATACTAGTGTGATTAGCCAACATCAAACCACTAACTCGATGTGATGTTTGAATATATGGTGATTTTTTTGTAATAGCAACTTGAATACTGGCTGGACCCCATGGAATGAACTGAGCCAAACGACGTTCACGAATCCGCAATAATGATTTATGTACCTGATTTCAAGTTTATAGAAATAATTTTGTTATCATCTTGCATCAACTTGTTACAAAAGATCATTATTTTTTTTTATTTATTACATCGGTTGGATCAGCTTCTCCTTGAATAATATTCAACACTGAAATATAACAACTCTTCTTTGACGAATTTGTTGATACCATCCTATTTTTGGGTTGCAATAATCTTCTCATCACATCAAGCACTGTGGTCTTACGCACTGATTTAGCCTTAATTTAATTTAATTTAAATTATGATTAAAATTATGATTCATAATAAAATGTATAAAATGTATTCAATTGATTTCTAAAAATAAAACCTTTTCTACGTTATCGCTCGTAAAAGGTGTATAAGCTGTCATCAAATAATGACATTTAGGTGTTGGAATTAATGATGCAATCATTCCGACAAGATCATTGTTCATATATCCAGGATATCGTAATGTTGTTGTGCTCGCTGACATTACAGTTGATACCTAATAAATTAATAAAAAAAAAATTAAAATAAAATAAATAAATAAAAATTAATAAAAAAAAAAATTAAATAAAATAAATAAAAAATTAATAAAAAAAAAATTAAAATAAAATAAATAAATAAAAATTAATAAAAAAAAAATTAAATAAAATAAATAAAAAATTAATAAAAAAAAAATTAAAATAAAATAAATAAATAAAAAATTAATAAAAAAAAAAATAAAATAAAATAAAATAAATAAATAAAAAATTAATAAAATTTAATAAAAATTAAAATTAGTAAAAAAATTAATCACATACCAATTGATTTGTTTGAGTAAAGGTGGGATTTTGAATATGAAGTCGATCACATGCAATTCTATTAAGAGCTGCATTATCCAAAACAATCTAAAAATATTTATATGTCGAATGAGTAAATTCGAAAATTTTATAAATCCATTAAACACAAAGAATAATTACCACACAGTCTGCATTATTAGTAAGTCTCTTTAAAGTTAAAATGCTGTTATAAGGTTGAACAACTACATCTGAAACCTCTTCATTATTGGGGAATACTGAATATGTTTGGATCAACTTTTTAGGATATCGATCGTTAAGTCGTTCTAAAAGGAATGATCCCATCCCCGATCCTGTTCCTCCAGCGATCGAATGAAGAAGCATAAATCCCTATCAATTCAAAATAATTAATAATTATTAAATTTAATTAATTTAATATTTAGTTTTTATTTATTTTCCTACCTCAAGAGAATCACTTCCATCAGCTTCACGATCAATCATTTCAAATATATCTTCGCAAACCTTTTCTGCTTGTGAAAATCCATAAGCCCATATATTACCTGCACCACCACCATCTTTTGATAAATAAATGTTTTCCGGATTATATAGATTTGAATATGGAGATGCCAATATGTTATTAATTACCTAGATGATATTAATTAAATACATTCGTGGTGGTTTTACCAATTAATATATTTAATTGATATGATTATTTTAATTACACATTTCTTACTCTTGGCTCCAAATCTAGTAATAATGCTCTAGGAATGTAATGCTCATCATCGGCCTATTAATTTTCTCATTTATAAATAAAAGATTGAATTAACTTTGTGAACTAAAATTAATAAAATCAATAGTAAAATTCGTTACCTGATAAAAGAATACGTCTTTACGATCACCACCTTCAGTAGCAAAATCTTCTAGAATACCATCTTTACTGATCCCGTGTTCGGCACAAAGTTGAGACCAAAATTCCTGACCAACTATTAATGTTAGTCAAGTTTATTATATATATATATATATATATACATATATATACATATATATATATTTATGTAAAATATAAAAAATTGTTTCTTATGCAAAACACGACTCTTTTCAGCAATTGCTGATATCATTGTTGGATCTTAAGATTTTCTAAAGCAGATGGACTTCAACATACTTTGATTCCCACATTGTCCTGTTTGAATAGTTATTAATTCGCGCGGCATGGTATAATATATATATATATATAAACACGTATGAAATAATCACGTATGATAGACGTTTATGATAAACGTCTATTTGTTTTACGTCATCTGTCTGTTAAATATAACTTCCTATCACATGACAAAGTTAATTTTAATCGAAACATTTATTTATTCATTTATTACATTAAGAACAAATTATATAATTAACCTTTTATATTTCAACAAAAAAAAATAAGTCTAGAAGAAAAAATAATGGATTAAAGAATTAAAAAAAAAAAAACAAACATATTTTTACAATGTTTAAATTTGGAATACATTATAAAGCAAGAATAATTTAAATTATCTCCTTTAAATTACAATCAATCTAATCATCTTTCTTATCAGTAAATTCTTCATCTTCGTCTTCAACTGTTGTATGAAGATCTTTGATTCTTTTACTACCACTAGCATCATCATCATCTCCATCTTCATCAAGTACATTTTCCTTCCCTTTTTGTACCTCCCAACCCCATAATGGAACAAAACTTTCCAAAACCCCACACTCTGCAAATAAGTTAGGAAAAATCCATATCCCTGGAGGTACTATAATCATAGTAACGATGAACAATACAAGTCTAAAAACGGCAAGAGCCATGATCATTCCAAAAATACCGAGTATAAATACTGAGACGTACCATACTGAATCACGTAATTTGGCTGGCCAAAGAGGGAATAAAACAGCTACGAATACAACCAACATTAACAACACTCCCAACAAAGAGTTCAAAAGTTGTGATCCTTCATATAGCCATACATAGTATTGGTCTTCTGACCATAATTGAACTGGGGTTATTTTCAAAATTTTGTTGCGAGAACTTTCGGCACCGCCAGAACGTTCAACTCGCGCGTAAAAAGCAAATTCTAGAATTTCTTCGAGAACTTGACTTGCCTCATTTTCATTCGTAATTTTTGGAACGTTCTTTAATTTTTTAAATGGTTCTTTAAGTAGAGCTTTTACAGCAGTTTTACCTTAAAATTGCAAAAAAATTTCTATTAATAAAAATCTAAACCCTAAATCCACTACTTTATATCTTTACCTTTAAAATACTCTACCCTCTTTCCATTCAAAATTCCTGGACGAGTTTTTAAAACTTTAGAAGATCTAAGATATTTAATCGTCTTTAAGAAAGTAGGAGGTGCCTTTTCCATTTTTTCAATAACGCAAGTTTCTTCACATCATTCCAATTAATTATATTATCGAACACCAATTGAATTTTACCACATATTAATCGGTGACATCACGTGATAATAATTTTTTTAAACCAAAAGGTTTTTAATTTAGTCTATTTTAGGACATTAATTCAATTATTTTAAGCAATTTTTATTTACACACAAAAAAAAAAATCAAAAGATAAATATATAGTTATAACTATTGTCATTATTAATGCACATAATGCACATAATGCACATTATTATGCATGAAGTCTATTCTCAATGAAGGACACATTTTAATGAGACATTTTTTCCAATAATTCTAATACTTGTTCATAGATAACAAACATCATTCCACTTTGCATAGCTGTCCATGCGACACGTGGCCAAAGTCCTCGAAAAAGAGCACTTATTCCATAATGTTTATAATTCCAATTCAACCCATCCAATATTCCATTATAATGATAATGGGATATTTTTATCGTGCTAGAAGTCGTTGTAGTTGTTTGCTTTGAAGAAAATGATTTCTTTGCTTTTGATTGTTTTTCAACTTGAGTCTGAAGTAATGTTTTCATAACATCCAATGGTGTTGTCAAAGCACCTGCCAAACCTCCAGCCAAGGTTCCAATTATAATTTCCCATTCAAGACTTAATTGAGGATTTTGTTTAGTGGTTGTGTATCGTATCGCCCATACTTTGAATTTCTCTGTTTTTTTTTTAAAAAAAAAAAAAAAAATCAAAAATCAAAAAATATGCACTTAAATATATACTTATAAAGAAGTTATATAGATTATTTCGGGGGGGGGGGGAGGTTTCTTTCAATTGAATAAAATAATACCGTAGAATGCAAATTGTAATGCTGAAAAGGGAACATCACGTAATAGTGTAGCTCTGTATCCGTTATAAAATGCACCTGGACCTTCAAACTTGTATAACTAAAAAAAAAAAAAAAATTCAATTTAGTCTATTGACCAAGAAAAAAATGATTACAAAAATTAATTTGGGAAATATAAAATTTATAAAATAGATGAAGCCCATGGCAAACGAACCACCAAGGCGCAAACAAACCATCTGCGCAGCGTGCCAAGTATTTTTATAATTGTATCCACTAAAGAAATGTGGATTATTATATCGACCTTGCAATTGTAGACGAGTTTTAAGAACCTGCGAAAACCGATAAAAATTTTACGCAAATCATATATTTAGATTCTGCAAAAATTCCAATAAGAATGTTAAGTGAATTATATAGATATTTATTGCAATAAGATTATAAATAAATGACTAACTTCAGAAGGAACGTAAACTGAAGATGCCATCACATCGCCCACGGATCCTATAAATGTATATAATAATAAGATTAAATAAATTTCTTGAAGTCGATCAAAAATTTTCGACTGTATTTTAGTTATTTTCTTACCAGCCGTTAAATGTGCAATAGTGTCTGGTATTCCAAAAGCTGTAATCTTACGTTTTGTAATTTCATATGTTCCAAAATAAATAGTTGTCGCTGGTACTAAAACATGATTAAAAAAAAAAAAGAAATATTTATATTCTGACGTGAAGATTGTGTTAAAATTATTTTCAAAAGTTATCTGAAAATTACCGGATCCTATTATGGCAGGTGTCACCCCACCATATAATCCACGCACAAGTCCTTCTTGCTTCAAAATTGTGGTATAAGCATTTCGCATATTTTGATATTTTGGAGGTTTGGTAAATTTTTGACCTTGTAATCTAGTTTTTACAGTGTCTATACTGAAATATGAAATTATGGAAATATGATTATTCATAAATTATTAATTATTATGAATTCAATTTATAAATTCATTAATTTTGATTGACCAAACAATAAGAATTACCTATGCATCAAAAAATCAGCTGTTGAACCACCAAGACCTCCAGCAAACATTACCTAAAAAAAAAAAAATCAACTTAATAAATGATTAGAATTAGTTAATTCAAAAAGTTGAAAATGAATACTACATACGTAAGTAATTGGGGCGGCTTCCGTATGTTCATCATATTTAACTGTTGACATGACTTGACCTGATGATAGGACTGACTGTTCTCGTGATATTGAAGGCTGTTTTGAAGTATCATATTTAAAATTTTCTATCATGATATGATCTCCGAGTATATTATAATTTTTACACCCAACCAAATTCTTATCTCGCGTATTAATGGTTTATTTAGCTTATAATCAAAATTATTTTATGTATCAAAATGTAAGAATATAATTAATTTCACAATATAGAAATGTCAACTTTTTGTAAAGATAAAGAAATGATTTGAAAGATGGAATCAAACTATCAAATTATGTTTTTTTTTTAAAAAAAAAAAAAAAAATAGAAGATGGTTCGAGAAATTGAACTGAAGAAATGTGTTTCAAAATCTTTTTAATAGTTGTACCGTCGTACGACGACCTTCACTGGCTTTTGTACGACAATATTTTTGTTAAAACAGCCACAATTCACTTGATAATCGTTATTATTTTTTTTTTTTTGGTGTTGAAAAAGTAAAATGTTATTTCAATTGTCAAAACTTTCTTTACTCATAAAATATATCAACTCTATTAAAAGCAATAATTGTCAAATTTTCATACGAAGGTTTCTTTCTAACAGTCAGCCACTAAATTCTCACATAGGTCGTAAAATTATTAGATATCCTCATAATGTTAAAATTACTCATGACCCAACACCAATTACTCAGCCACGTGTTAAAGCTGATATGTTCTCTACGACATTAACGATATCGGGACCATTGGGTACACATTCTATGCCTATTAAACCATATGTTGGAATCAAATTTATCAAATCAGATTTATTATATATACCTCCTAAAGATAGAAAACCTCCTACACATAATATTGACGATGATGATTTCATTGATGAAAGTGATTTTGACAAAAAATTGGCGATATCTGTTGAAGATCCTAAAATAAAAGAGCAAAGAGCAATGTGGGGTACAACAAGATCTTTGATTGCAAACTATGTTATTGGAGTTTCCGAAGGATATAATGTTTTATTGAGATTTGTAGGTGTAGGATATAGGGCAAGTTTAGAAGAAAATCCTAAATCAAAAGATAGTCCCAAACAATTACATATTAGGGTTGGTTTCTCTCATCCGGTTATATTGGAAATTCCTCTCAATATTCGTTGTCGTTTACCCAGCCCTACGAAAATTGTTTTGACTGGCACTGACAAACAAGCTGTAACATTATTTGCATCACAAATCAGATCGTATAGAAAACCAGAACCTTATAATCAAAAGGGTATTTTCGTTAATGATGAAACAATCAAAAAGAAGAGTAGTAAAAGGAAATAAAATAATTATTTATTGTTTAAAATACAATGGCATCTTGAGAATTTTTGAAATTTTACAGAGAAAATTTTTTTTTTTTTTAAAAAAAAGGAAAGATATATAAGGAAAGATATATAAGGAAAGATGCGAAAATTAAAACAGGTTTATCTAATGGCGTATTACGTATTGCAATTACTCGTACACAATTTCACAACTTTTGCATTCAAATATATATTAGTATATATTAAAATAAGTATATTATATAATAAACCTTATTTCAAATTTCTTTAATGAAAAAATCGAAAAATGGTTAATTATTCATCATATGTTTCTTTGTTTATTGCTATATCATTTGTTCTTTTGGTATGGGAATGGAAAACTCAACAAGTATTCGACCTTAGTTACTACGATGAAACTCAAGTACTTATCTTACTAAATGAAGGAAAAAAGTTAATTCAAATTGACGAAACAGAAATTTATTTGATGACTGAAGAAGAGGTTCTAAACTTAAAGAGAAAAAATATTAAATTTATGGATATAACTGATTATTTAGAATTGGGATTAACTTATAAGGAGAAAAAAATATATGGTACATTTTATTATTGGTTTATCTTTTCCCGAATCCTTATTGGAAATTTTATGACTCAACTAAATGACATAATTTTGTTTATCAAGAATATCCAATCTTCCCTACTTTCCAAGATGAAATTGCTCCTTTCATTGGAAACCTTACCACAGATTATATGCGCGAAAATCTAGAAAAATTTACCTCTTTCCGAAATCGATATTATCGCTCAAAATATGGTGTTGAATCTTCAGAATGGCTCTTCAAAAAAGTTTCTGGAATTGTAAAGAACTCAAAAAGAGTTGCCTCTGAAATTTCTGTTAAACAATTCAGACATAAATGGGATCAAAAATCTATTATTGCAAGATTCGAAGGTTCTGATCCACAAAAGGATAATGAAGTTGTTATCGTAGGAGCTCATCAAGATTCAATAAACATGTGGATACCAACTTATGGTAGAGCTCCTGGAGGTAATTTGATATAATCCCAACCAGGAATAAAAAAAAAAATAAAAAATAAAAATAAAAAATAAAATAAAAAAATAAAAAATAAAAATAAAAAAAAATAAAAATAAATTATACAATATCATATATTCAAAATTATCATACATAAAATGGTTTTTTTAAATAAAGCTGATGATGACGGAAGCGGTACCGTGACAATTTTAGAAGCATTCCGAGTTTTAGTTGAAGGAGACTTTAAGCCTCAAAGACCAGTTGAGTTTCATTGGTACTCTGCTGAAGAAGGAGGACTTTTAGGTTCACAGCATATCGCCTCAGAATATGAAAGGGAAGGCAGAGACGTAATTGCTATGTTGCAGGTAATTTAATATTATTGAATATTAATTAAGTTCTTGGAATTCTTTGAAAATTCTTGAAAAATTCTTGATTTTTCATAAAAAAAATTCAGAATGATATGACAGGGTATATCGGAAAAAAACCCGAATCAGTTGGAGTCATTATCGATTTTGTCGATCCCGATTTAACTTCATTCCTTAAGAAACTTGTCACTACCTACGCTTCTATTCCTTCAACAGACACTAAATGCGGGTAAATTTAATGAAGGGGGAAAAGGCTTTTAAATTATTTGTCATTACGTGTCGTTGTATGACTTATTCATTCTTTAAAATCTTTTAATCTTTTAGATATGCTTGCTCAGATCATGCTTCTTGGCAGAAGGTTAGTGACAATTTTTTTCTTTTTTTTTGATTTATAATATAAATTTCTTCGTATTAAAAAAAGAAATCCTTTATTAGGCTGGCTATCCCTCTGCATTCACTATTGAAGGTGAATTTTCAGATTCGAATCCTTATATTCATACTGCGAATGACATAATTGGACATTTGAGCTTTGATCATATGCTTGAATTTAGCAAGGTAATTTACGAATTATTTTCTTAATTAAAATTTTGAAAATGTTTGACTAACAAATTAAAATATTTTTATGTTTTATAAACAGCTTTCTGTTAGTTTTGCCATTGAATTGAGTCACATCTAATATATATATATATACATACATACATACATATATATATATATTTATATGATATATAAATGTATAATCATGTATAATCGTATTTATAAAATGTTTAAATAAATTTATTTATTTATTTTTCTAAAGATATCTATTCATGTCATTTATGGCAGTTCATATTATGAGATCGAATCTCAAAGGATGATCAGGGTCTATGATAAATCACTTTCCAAATAAAAATCAAAATCATATGAGTTACACCTGCAGAAATAGATATCGATTTGTTTCACACGAACACACAGTAAGCATTACAAAAAAAATAATTGACTCCAATTAAAATACATCAGACATTTAAGACGTACAGCATTTATTATTGTTCACGGGAGGAACCAACGTAAAGTGAAGTTCATATAAACACAATACGCTACACGACCTCCAACTTTTCCCTTTTATTTATATAGCGTAAAGAGCAACGTGCTTAATATTATATATATAAGTTTCTCGAAGGGATTTTGCTTGTATCGCCTTTCCTTCATATCACCATCGCAATCCCTCCTATCTGGAATAGAAATCCAGTTACGACCGCAATTCCTTAACTCCAATCCATCATTTCCTTAGGAAAGATATCTTTGAAACTTTGAAATAAAGTAGTTCACCAACCAACGTTGTAAAATAAAACCTATTTTTAAAATGTCAACAATGTCCGCCAAAATGTCTCGTAGCTCTCGGCGACGTAAACATGCTATCTCTCAGCTAAATCTAATGGTTGTAGGTTTTCAGTCACTTGGTAAGACGTCTTTCATCAGAATGCTTTTCGACACACTTTGTGTCCGTAAAAACGCTAAAGAAGAAACAAAGCTTCCCGAATGTTTATTCCAAAGCGCCGAAACCGCGCAGGACGCTGAAACCGCGCGTACGAAAGAATTGTATTCTTTCACTTTGGATGTCGAAGAGGAAGGAGAAAAAATTTCTTTGACCTTAGTTGATAGTCCCGGGTTTGTAAGAGATAATGAACTCAGGCTTGACGTTCAAGTTACGGAAGCATTAAGATATATTGAGGCTCAGTTTGATCACACGTTGGCTGAGGTGAGAAAATATAAAAAAAAAATAATAAAATTTTAAAATAAATCTTAATTAAATAAATTAAATAAATTAGTTTAATTATCTTTTTTTTTTTTTTCTTTTTAATATCAATAATGTTTATTTAAAAATATTTATAAATAATAGAAAATTTTTTAATCAGCGTACTTATTAGATTAAATCGATTTTTCATACATATAGGAAACCAAAGTAAAGCGTAATCCGAAAGCTCAAGATAGCCAAATTCATGCATGCCTTTATTTTATTGACAATGCTAATAACGGTTTAACTGATAAGGACATTCGTATTTTAAAACGGTTAACCGCGCGCGTCAATGTCATCCCAGTTGTTGCAAAAGCTGATTTGCTCACAACTTCACAACTTGCAAACCTTAAGCAGGCAATTAAAAGGGACTTAAAAGAACATAATATCCCTGTATTTGATTTTCCTATTGATGAAGAAGTAGCAGAGCAAGAAGTAGCGGAAGTAGTTACGAACGTACAATCTTATATTCCGTTCTCTTTGGTTGCTCCAGAAGATGCTACAATCACAGACCCATCGACGGGAGAAAAAATCCGAGGACGTCAATATGCTTGGGGAATTATTGACTGTTTAAATCCAAAACATTGCGATTTTGTTGTATTGAGGAACGTACTTTTGTCGAGTCACCGCAAGTTATTCAAGGATATTACCCTGGAGGTGTTTTACGAACAATATCGTACTGAGCGATTGATGGCCAGAAAGGCGAGTAAGATGATCACCAAGGAACAGAAGAAGAAACTGTTGGAGGATTTGTCGGAAATTTAAAATTATTAGAAATTATTTGCTTCCAGTAATTCATTATCAATTATTTTTTTTTCTTATTTTCTTTTGTATATTATCCGTTTCCTTGATGTTTTATTTTTTTTTTTTTTTTTATTTTTTTTTTGGAGGGATTGGCAACAATAATTTTTTATATCCTCTTTTTACTGTTTTGACTTACTTTTAGGATTCATTTTTTTATTGTTATGCACATCAGGTCCTTGGTTCAATTGACACTTACACCTTGAGGGAGAACAAAACTTAATGCCCGGCCGGTTTTCGGGCGTACAGGTTTCCCCCGTACAAGTGCATAGAGGATACCTTTTAAAATTTTGGTTTCTCACTTTTTAAAAAAATTTTCTTCTGTACGCCCAGTTTCCTTTTTTTAATTACGAAAAAAAAAAAACTATGGTTTTTCTTTTACACCAATTTTTAAATTTACTCCATTCATTTCTTCTTCACAGATTTATACATTGGTTGATTTTATGGTTATTATTTTTGATTGTACTTTAGTCAATCCCATTTATTTTATAAGAAACCCATTTCAAAAAAAAAAAAAAAACATCACATGCATTTTTGACATTAATATATATTACATTACTTATTTATATTTTTAATTGTATATTGTTTTTATTCTTGTGGTTTTCTCTTGAGAGTACTTTATTTTGGGGAGTGTATCTTTGTGGGATTATATATTATTTATTCATAGCGTTAGTTGGTTTTTTGGTAAAGGAAATAGAATTACAAATATTATTTCAAGAAAAATTTTTTTTGGAAAATTTTATTTTCCGTTAATTTGAAAATATATGATAGATATAAAGAAAAATTATAATTTACGATTTCAATATAAAAAAACGTAATTATTTTTTTCCATAAACTTTTTTTATTTGTTTTCTTTTTTTTTTTTCTTTCTTTTTTTTTTTTTTAAATTTAATATATTGTATCTTTTGATCTTGTTGTTGTTTTAATAACATGCCGTCCAATATATAAATTTATTATCCAATATTATCCAATATTATCCAATATTATCCAATATTATCCAATTTGGTAGGTATTGAAATTGCTTTATAATATAATAAAATTGAAAATTATTTAATTTATTTCATCGGACTATTTAAAAAATAGTAATTGTATATATTACTATAAAGCTCATCAATCAAGTGATACGCAATTAAAATTTTATTACCTTATTAGGAATTTTTCTGCTAAAATCAAATAAAATCAATAAATTGGTTAGAAAAGGTTTAACCAAAATAGAATATGAATCTGAGATTCTAATTTACACGTGAACAGAAATTTGATATTTATTTGTTTTAGATTCGATAAAAAAAATTTTTAATTTTTGAAATGAATGAATTTCCATCACTCAAGAATGATTTAATTATTCGTGCCGCTCGTGGTAAATATTTTAAAATGTTTTAAAATTTGATTTTGATTATTATTTTTTTTTTTATTTATTTTTTTTTTATTTATTTTTATTTATTTATTTTTATCAGGTCAAAAAACTGAGCGTGCGCCAGTATGGATTATGAGGCAGGCTGGAAGATACTTGCCTGGTAATTAAATTATTTTTTAAACCATATTATGTTAATTAATAATAATTATATAAGATTAAATTAAGATCAAATTAAGATTTTTTTTAAATTAAATTAATGATTAAATCAATGATTAAATTAATAACTACCTATTTTTAAAGAATTTCGTGCCGAACGACTAAAGCACGATTTTTTCGAAATTTGTCGTACACCCGAACTCGCAACATTAATTACATTACAACCAATTGATCGTTATGATGGATTACTCGACGCAGCAATAATATTTTCAGATATTCTTGTAATCCCTCAAGCATTAGGGTTATCAGTGGAAATGTTACCCGAGAAAGGACCTGTATTTCTTGATCCTTTAGTAGTTCCAGAAGATATAGATTTAAAATTAAGAAATAAAGTTGATGTTGATCATGAATTAGGATACGTTTTTGAAGCAATTACTATGACTAGAAAAGCATTAAATGGTCGAGTACCTTTGTTAGGATTTATTGGAGCACCTTGGACATTGATGGCATATATGATTGAAGGAGGTAGCAGTCGTACTTTATCAAAAGCTAAAACTTGGTTATTCAAATATCCAGAAGAAAGTAAAAGATTGTTACAAAAAATAACTGATGTAGGAGTAGATTTTTTGATTGGTCAAGTTAAAGCTGGTGCTCAGGTAACATAATACAATTATACAATTAATAATTATAATTAAATAAATTAAATAATTATAATTATATTTATTTATCTAATTATATATGATTTATTTTAGATGGTTCAAGTATTTGATTCATGGGGAGGAGAATTGTCACCTTTCGATTTCAATACATTTTCATTACCATTTATTACTCAAATTGCCAAACGAGTCAAATCTCAACTTAAAAATGATGGTATTGAACCAGTTCCCATGACAATATTTTGTAAAGGTTCTTGGTATGCACTTGAATCTTTATCAAATATTGGATATGATACTATTTCATTGGATTGGACTATTGATCCTATTTATGCCAAGAATATTACTAAAGGTAAAGTTACACTTCAAGGAAATCTGGATCCTAATATGTTATATGGAGATCATGATACAATTAGAGCATCAGTAAGAAAGATGTTAGAAGCATTTGGTACAAGTGAAAGATATATTGTGAATTTGGGACATGGTATTTTACCCACTGTTGATCCGGAGAATGCTCGAGTATTCTTGGAAACAATTCATAATGTTGGATTGGAATTAAATAATAATCATAAAAATTAATCTTATTAAAAAATTTTTGGGTAGATTTTCTTTATTTTTTTTTCCATTATATTTTAAATTTATTAAAATTAATCAAAATTAAGGTTATTGATTTTTTTTTTTCTTTGATAGATCATGTTACATTGTAATATTCTTTAAAATTTAAAATCCTATTGTTTTGTATTAGTTAGACTGTATTTTTATTTAAATTTCACACGTGATTTTGTATTGACATCTGATTTTCTATCACATGTAAAATCTTACTTTATATTTTTATAGTTATTATAGTGTGTGTGTGTACATTAATTATTTATTTAGATTTTTATAGAAATCTGGAGATTTTACAATATATCTCAAATATTCTTGTTTTGAATAAACGTCATTCGTGTTTTGCGTGTTTTATATGTCTAGTTTACTTACAATAAAAAATTTATGAATAATAATATAATCTGATTCTCGAGGAAATTTCGTTGCATATAATAACCCGGTTTTTTGATATTATTCATATTTTCAAAAATTTTGTCGTCAATAAATCGATTAAGATTTAGCCCGTTCGTTCTTTCTTTTCACAGTCCAATCAAACAAAATGAAACATACATAACCAAATTAAGTACTTGTTTAGGTTTAATATTACTTTTCTCGAACGAAAAAAAAAAAAAAAACTCTACGAAAAGTTATGGTTATGCGTGTATGTTTGTGTGTGTGTGTGTGTGTGTGTGTGTGTGTGTGTGTGTGTAGGTTTTATTTAGTGATATTAAACAATAAACACAATAAATCCTTTTTTTTCGTTATAAAGAAAATTTTCTTTTATTCATTGGCTGCTTACGATGCTTTAAAATTTGGTATCAAAATTTACCAATGAATATTATAAACAACTTACAATTGATCAATTGATCTGTTTTGAAAGATATACTTAACCTTTCATTCTTCCTTCTTAAAACCTTTTCGTTAAACTTATCAATCAAATCAAAATCAATAATAAATAGAATAAAAGAATAGATCCAAACCTAAAAAAAAAAGAAATATACTTAATTTACTTGCCCACAAAAATCACAAATTTATACGTGTTCTTTGTCTTTTAATTTCACATTTTTTTCAAGCAATTGTAGATATATACATATATACATTTATTTATTTATTTATAAAGTGATGGTAATGGAGCAATGATTGAACAATGAAAACAATGCATGCTTTTTTTTTTTGATTTTGATTTTCCAAACTCCAAAAAACAATTGAACCAAATAAAGGAACAATTGAAAAACAAAAACGGGAATCGTATATCTAAAAGAAATAGGTACAGTAATAAATAATAACATAACATGATCATCTCGTACCGTAAATCAGTAACTAAAAAAATAATGCCGTGTAAAATTTACATCAAATTCATCGAGTTAATCAAACGAAATCATGTTCACTCCAGGTGAAAAATATAACGATCTTTCGCTGAAAGCACGCTCGAACGTTTGTACTCACATATATATATATATATATATTATAATACTATATATAGTTCGTGTCGTACTAATTTTTTTTTTGTTTCAGTTCAGTTTCGAATTTGAATATTGAAAATCTCGCTCTCTTTCTTTCCCCTCTAATACACTACACATAACCACATACACGCACTTATAATATTCTCTAATGGTTCTAATGCATTAAATTAATTACAATTAGTAACCTTAGTTATTTTCATATACTATTTAATGATCATCGAATCATATCTGCATGTAACATGCTTTTATGAATCTAAATTAACTAATTTTCTAATTATTTTTGTATCTTTCTTGAATTGTTTCTTTGCATCTTTTGGTATTGTTTTCGTATGTTTTCGAGAAAGTAATAAAATGATCGTCAAAAAAATGAAATTGCATTTCGGAAAATGCGTAAATAGTGTACGTCATTCTTTAAATTTTTCTAGAATAAAAAAAATGCAATATTATTTTGCATTGTGAAGCTTTAGTATTATTATTATTATATGCAAGTGATGCAGTGCAGTATTCCTTATTTATTTTTTTTCTTGGATTTTAGTGTCTTTAATTCTATTCGTTTTTTTCATATTTTTTTGTTTTTATTTAATAAACATCTATAAACATTTATATGTAAGATGTTTATTGATATTTGTAAACGTCTATAAAACTATATTAAGTGATTTATTTTTCCACGTAAATTATAATTCTTTCGTAAACATTATCCGGAACTCTTATTTACATCTCATTATTTTTTCACATCATTTTTTCACATTATTTTTTTCACATTTTTTTTTCACATTATTTCTCACATTATCTCTTACATTAAAAGAATGAATTATATAAACATGCATTTGGCAAATTATGGTTTCTTCCGATTTTTTTTTTTTTTTTTTTTTTGTGTATGAGAAAAATAATAAAACTTTTTGAAAATTCATTCACAACTTCTTTTTTGTACTTTTTTATGAATAAAGTTCGGACATTTCCATTGGATTTCGTTAATATTTACTAATCTTTTTTTTTTTGATTGTATTTTTTTGACTTTATAGTTGCTGAGGCTCACATGATTAAATTTTTAATCTACTAATAAAAATCCAACATCTTAAACCGCGTTTTTGTTATTATCCTTGAATAAAAGATAATAATTAAAACAGAAAGTTATTAAAGAAAAACAATTTTCTAATCGAACTAGAGAATGTATGTGATATATTCTAACTGCATTTATCTTTATTGTAAAAAAAAGCAATTATTATTATTATAAACTAATTTTTATTTTTATTACATAATTTTTATTGCATAATCTATAGGGACGTGCTTTATTTATTGTGAACTTTCAGTGTATTGTATAATAATTTCTAATATAATAATAACGGTTATTAATAATTATTGCATAACTCGTTATTTTATCATTATTCTTATCATCATTTGTAAAAAAAATTCACATGTAAATCAAAAGTTGTTAGATACAATAATACAAGAATTCGGGAAATCATGAGAACATTCATTCTTGATTCCTAAATTAATATTTATTTTGAAAATTCTGAAATCTAATTTCTATTTGTTGTTCTCGTTCTTGTTTATGCTATTAATTATTTTTTGTACAATAAAATAATAATTGTTAAAAGAAGAAGCGAAAATATTATAATAAAAGCTAAAAGCGAATCATCTTTTATAAAAGTTGTTGGCATTGATTTATTGGACCATTGCTTTGGTTGCATAAAAGTAAAAATTACCAAAAAAAGTGAAAATCGGAATTTGTAATAAAATATCATAAGATTATTGATTTTTTATTTCTAAAATAGGACTTTTCCCTCATGAAAGAAAGAATCAATATAAAATTTTTATAGATGTGATTATAAGATAAATTTTAATATTGTACCCATTTTTCTTGAGTTACATTATTTCTCGAAAATTACTTTATTTGTTGAATTATTTTATCATGTTTAATTTCTTTTCTCCACATATAAAATGACACAATAATAATAAATATTATCATTATTATGATTAACAGTTAAAAGGCGGTTAAAGAAGAGTTACAAAGCATACAAGCATAATATTAGTACGACTTTAATTACTATAATTAAGCATAAACAAGTATCGCACGAGTAAATTAGTAATGCAATAATAAAGTTTTTGTGTCAATTGTTTCGAACCACGCATATCTCAATAGATCGATCTTTAAGGTTAACTAACTTATGAATGCAATTTTGAAAAAAAAAAAAAAGTATTTGTAACGATGCACATGATAAAACATCGACATTATCTCAATAGAAATCATACATTACAATAGACATACCATTATATTAAAGAAATTGATGATGAAAAAAAAAGCCTCCTTGAATTCTTATTGAAAAATTATTTTTCATTGAAATAAAGTTTTAATTAAATTAAAATTATCTCAATTATCTGTAATTATTATCTGTAATTATCTGTTGTAATAAATTAATTATAAATTAATTTACTGTGATAATAAATTAATAAATTGTTCATGAATGATAGAATGATAGAAGAGACAACCGTAAATTTCCATTTTTCGATTCTTCGTCCAACAAAGAAGTCACAAATAAAATTCCAAAAAATTTTAGTAATACCTAAAATCATTTTATTCAAATTATTTAAATCATTTTATTCAAATTGACCGCCAAAAGAATATGTCATTTATGTAAATTAAAAAGAACCAAAAAGCATGCGACTCTAATAAAGTAATCAATATATCTAAAATTATTATTATCATTTAGAGATATATATATTGTATAATAAATTGTTATCATCATTTAGAGATAAATATATTATATAATAAATTATTATTAAAGTGTGGATAGACCACCTCTATCTATCTACATTTATCATTATCACCTGCAGGAGATGCAAAAAAAAATTTTTTTTCCAAGAACACCACAATCTAAATGAAGAAAAATATTCTAATTGAAAAGTTGATCACTTCATCCTTTCTCTTTCTACCTTTATGTGTGAGAAAATCTTTAATCAGATATAAGCACGCTTAATATTATTTAATATTATGTAAATAAATATGTAAAATTATATAATTTAGTTATTTTTATAATAAATGATTATGATTGTACACACTTAAAAATTAAAAAAACCTGTGTTTTTTAGGCACTGGCCACTCATGGTTTCTAAAATTTTATTATGATCGATCAAAATTTTTTTCAAACACATGCAAAACGTTAAATTACTGGTTCTTCAACTAGTTTAGAAGTATTTATACAAGTGTTCAAATATTGATAAAAAAAAAAAATATAAATATAAGAGTAAAAAATTTATTGTATATATAAAATAAAATTAAAAAAAAAAAAAGTAAAGCTAAAAATAAACTAAAATAAACTAAAAATAAACTAAAAATAAAGGTGGATAAACACGCGCGTAGTATTTAATGTAACATTCACTTTTTTTCACTTTCACTTGGTGAGAAATTCTCATGAATGACCTGTTAACCTGTTTATAAACCTGCAATTTTTGTGATATATACAATTATATATTTAGTAATTCCCACTTTTTATTAATTCACACCTTTTCTTTTTAATTCAAAAATTAAATGTAACCTTTTATAAAAGATATCCGCAAATGATCCTTCCATTTCTATTTGTTATTTTTCCTTGAAAAAAGAGTTGTTATGCTCTTGTATCTTTACAAATTGAGTTTTTTAACTTGTATTTTTCAAGAAACTTTTTTCATTAATAATTGTTTAAAGATAATATTAAAAATTTTACTATGTATAACTATTCTACATTTTACACAGAAACTTTGTAAATAAAGTTCACGGAAAAAAAATTCCTTTAAAAAAAATTTTTGTTCAGATCATCTAGTGAAAGATAATGATTGATGATGATGATGATGATCTGTGATGATTGGTAAAAAAAAAATAATAATATTATTATTATTATTGCAAATCAATAATATAAACAAGATATTTCATAAATTGATTCTTATTTCCGGCACCATACATTATTACATCTATGACATTCACCTATTAACTATAATATTGATAATAACAATTTCGGTATAAAAGCTTATGATTGTCTAGAATAAACGTGCTTTTGACATTTTTTCTTCATTTTCGGAGCTTAGATAATTTAACAATTTAACAAAATCCATAAAAATTCATAAAATTCTTGGAAAATCCTGTTCGGTCCGTCATCGTGTCACGTTCGACATCGTAAAAAATTTAACACAAAAAAAGCAATAATTTAACACAAAAAGCTCCTGAAAATAAATTATGAAAAATAAGTTTGCTTCGGAATTATGATTTACGTTATCTGTATATATATATAGTACATATTGTATGTATTGTCGCATGAAACTTGTTCATTGTCCGACCTAATAATTAAACTGTAGATAATAATTAAACTATTAAAAATAATAAATTGTAGATAATAATTAAACTGTAGATAATAAATTAAACTATAATATATTAATATCATTTCTGATTATTGCCAAATTTATAATATGGTATACAATATATACAATATATACAATATACAATAATATCATCGGCATGATAATACATAAAAAAACGAGACCGAAAGACACATGCATTTACATTTACTGGATTTATTAATTTACATGAGATCCCCTTCGAAAATAACTAACCTTTGTAAATAACCAATGGTTTTCTATTTTATATTATATTGTATAGAATAATATAGAAAAAATGTTATTATTATTATTATTTATTTTATTGATATATTAGGTTATCTTTAAAAGATAAAAATGATGTTATGTGATTGCTTTCCAATGATGACATGTGAAGAAGAAATGTAAAAAAAAATGTCCCAGTTTTTTCAACAGGATTTTCATCGGTATCTTAAATTCCGCAACGAATTTATAATATATATCGATTTTGTTAGTGAAACTATACACAAAAAAAAAAAAAGACTTTTACAAGCCCCCTTGTTTTTCTATTTATATATAGGTCTTTACCTTTTCCTTTCGCAAAAATTCACCACAATATTTAATCTTCTCTTTGACTATATAAACTTGTCTTTGACTAAATAAACTTGTCCTTTGAGGTTTCTTTTTTAAATACCCCCCGAAAATTCTTGATAAACAAGGGGTTATAATATTATTATAATAAATAGATAAATAAATAAATAAAAAATATAGTTCGTTTTTTTTTTTTTTTAAAAAAAAAAAAAATTTCTAAATTTTTTGATGTCAACGACCTTTACGCAATTCGGTATATAATGGCAATAGAATCACCGAAGCCAGTCGATAATATGAACAACAATACCACTAAATATATAAACTATTGTAAAAAAGGGGTTTCCTTAAACCAACGTATTCCTTCAAAACACTCAAAGTATCGAACATCAAAATTTAAGAAAAATGAAACATCGCAAAATAATAATAATAATAATAATAATAATAATAATAATAATAATAATAATGAAAAGAAGACAACTTCCCCACAAACTGAAAATAATCAATCACCTAATAATAATAATCAAGAAAAACCTCAACGAACAAGTACTTTTGATGGTAAAGAACCATTAATGAAATATGACCAAAAAATGTATGTATTTTAAATATTATTATTATTATTATTTTAACTTTTATACAATTTATTATATATTATTTTATATTTATATACTAATTTATTATTATTATTATTCATTAATAAAATTCTAGAAATACAAGTTATACACCATTCACACTTTTTGTTCACCTTACAATTATATTTCAACATTTATACACTTTATATCTTACTCCTTCTACTACAATATCACCAAAGCGTATTACTTCATTCACTCAATTAGTTTATGTTACTACTACTTGTTTTCATATTGCCACTTTATTGGCTAATTTATTTAAGAAATGTCAAGTAGAAAAGGTTTTCGTGTTATATGGAACTTGGGTTATATGGTCAGGGTGGGCAATGTGTTTATGGTTAATAAATCCTGATCCTTTATCACCAAGAACCTTAACAACAGGTAGTACGAGAGGATTTTATTATATAAATGGAAATGGTACAATAGTTTTATACGATTTTGAGGCTTTTATTCAACCAATGGATGTATCACCTTTTTTAATGCACGGAAAATGGACATCCACAACTTTACCAATACTTTCTTTCTTTCTTCTTCTTGCAATTCGCAGAAATCATTGGGGATTATTAACTTGGGAACATTTAGTTGTATTAGAATCCACCAATTCATTAAAGTATTATCGTACTTGGTGTATTGCGGGTGCAGGAGCTGGTTGGATACTTTTATGGGAAGCCATTAAATTCTGGTGTCATGTTCCATTTGCCTATACCAGTTCAACTGATGAAAATATTATTTTTTATCGAACTGACATTACAAGATTCCCTGGATTATTAAACATTCTCTTGGTTTGTTTCGTATCTGGATTATTTATGCTTTGTTGGTGGAGTTTCTGGACATTCCAATATAAAGGAGTTGTTTGGAAAAAAGAATTAAAAGAAGGCGTGGTAGTTTGGTCTTCTAATGGATTAATCCAAGTTGGAGGTGTTTGTTAATATCCATTAATTTTCATATAAAATTCTTCATAAGATTAATATTTCGATATTAAAAAAAAAATACAAAACAAACATTAGAACAATTGGTTAATTTTAACAAAGTTCTTCCCTTAAATGATTTTTTTGTGAAATCACTTTTTTGTAATTTTACTTTTCATGTTCTGTAAATTCAACAAATTCAACACTCAAATTCAAAAAAAAAAAAAATTTCTTTGTAAATATTTTAATTTAATTTTTTTCTTCCTTTATTTCTTACACCACAATTGCATTATAAAAAAAATGTCATAATTCATTCCCCCCCAAAAAAAAGTTGCATACATATATATATATATATATTATTTTATCGATTTAATTTTATGAAATATTGGAACAAAACTTTATAATTTCGAATTTCATAAAAAAAAACAAAAGTATCTTATATTGTATTTCTATTATAAAACAATTTAATAATAAAGATTTGTTTCGAATGAATTTTAATTTCTTTTATCGATTCAGAAATATTTAAGTAATAATTATTTGAATGTAAATCGATATATAAATAAATATCTATATATAAATAAATATATTAAAAAAAAAGAATGCCATTTACACGCGTTTATGTGGCGCAATATTATTAATTCCTTTATTGACTCACGCTAAGCCAGATATATAAAGATTTACTTTGATTATTGAGAAATATACATACGTGAGAATAATTAATTAATCCATTTTTGTGATAATTTACAATAATATATATATTTATTACACTCGTAGTTCTAATTAATTTATATGACAGAAGAAAGATTACATGAAAAGATTTAGGATCTAAAAAGAAAGGAACGAAAAAAATTTTTTTTTAATATTTGAAATTTTCGAAATGTACAGATGACAAAATTATAAAACTTTCCTTTTGTAATATGTATAATAATAATAGGTGAGTTACTTTATATTCGTGTTAAGATATTCTTTTGAACGATCGCCGATAATAACGATTATTAAATATTGTCGAATGATTATTATATTGGTTGTATATGGAATAAATCCAAATTATACTTGTTTCTTTTTAATATCTCGCCATGTGAAGATATTAAAATTTCAAAGTATTAAAAAAATTTTTTAAAAAAAAATCCATAAAAGTTAAACCATTAGTTGCTCCTCCGAATTTAGAAATAATTCCGAGATAAAAATACTAACCAAATTTATTTACAATCTAATGAATTTTTTTATATTAATAAATTCGGAATAAAGTTAATGAATTTCAATCAATGATAAAAAGCAGAATTCATAAATAATAATTTATTTATTTTCTCTTTGAAAGAGAGTTAACACTTTCAATGAAAGAAAATTTTTTAAATAGAAGCAAGAAAAATTGAATCGCACTTTTTAAATTAACAACTATTACACAATTTTAACGCTCATCGATTTTACTTAAAACAAAAGCCAGAAGAAAAAGTAGAATTAATTTACTATGGCCAACCAAAGTGACAAATCTAGCGAAGATTCAAATTCTGAAGATTATGAACATTATTCAAATATTGAAGAAGAAAGAATAGAAAGAATAAAAAGTGAACCTAATCAAAATAATGATGATATCAATGATAATAAACGTACAACAGCTTATCATTTATATCAAGCCGAAGAATCATTAAAGACTTTAAAACAGGTTGTTAGCGAACCAGGATGGAAAAAAATTTTAACACATAAAAGTGGTGTGGTTGTTTCTAGTAAACTTGGATTTAATAATCTAAAGATTCCATTGTTTATGGGAGAACATATAATTAATGGATTTACTCCACAAGCTATCTTTAGTGTTATTGGAATGAGAAAACTTTGGGATGAATGGTAAATTCGAAATATTCTTTAACAATACAAAAATGACTATACGAGGAATCTTAATGATTCGATTTTTTATTGATTAATAGGTATGAAGAAGGTAATCTCGTAGAAAATTTAAGTGATACAACAAGTTGCACATATATGGTTATGAAAGGAATGACCGGTTCCAAGTAATTATTTTCTTTCAATTTATTCTCTTAACTTATTCTCCTTCAATCTATTCTTATTCATTCTCTTTCATATTCTATAGAGTTAGAGATTTGTCTCTGGTTGAAAAAATTGAATGTACTCCAACTGGTACAATCTCTTTTATTGCAACTTCGGTAGACAATCCTAAAGTTCCTTGTATTAATGGAAGGATTCGTGCAGAAATTAAACTTCATGGTTGGATTCTTGAACCAATTAGTTTTTCTCCACCAAAAACAAAAGTTTCATACGTTTTACAAGCTCAAGTTAATGGATGGATACCTGCAGTATTCGTTAAGAAATATATGGCAAGAAGACCTGTGATTATTCATACTATTGAATCATATTTACAAAAGAATGGTCCACCACCAATGATTCTTAGTAACACTCAAGATAATTCCACGAGAAGCAGTGGTGATTCTTATAACAAGTAAATTATTTATCAAAACTTTTAAAGATTTTAATATGATAATTTCGATCAAATTGAAATTCTTTTACCAATTCTTTTATCAATTCTTTTATCAATTCTTTAATTTATTCTTTTATCTATTCTTCTTATGAAATAATTCTAGTACTGAAAATGCGGGTCAAAGAAAAAAAGTGAACTTTAGTGAACAGGAAGATGGTGAAGAATCAAAATCAAAACAACTTATGTTTCAGAATCCTTCTCTAACAAGGAATGATCGACCAAATAGATCTTTATCATCATTACCAACGACACCAAAAGAGATTAACTATGGAAGTTACCCACTAATGAAAAGACATAAAACTGGTTCCGTACCTAAATTCAGTCTAAGAACGCATAAATCACATGATCAAATAAAACAAAGACAGATACCACGTTCATTACAATCACATCGTCATGTCGAATCAGCATATCGAACATTAGAAATATTTAAAATCTTATCTAGTAGTCATGACGATTGGGATCTTTATTCAGAAAAACAAAATACAAAGATTTATATGAAAAATTCACGTGACTCATCACCATCTTTAGTACGTGGTGAAACGATTATTAAAGGAGGATTTACACCTGAAGATATTTTATCAATTATTAAAAGTCTGGATTTGAAAAAATATTGGGATGATCGATATGATGAAGGAGAAAGAATAGAGATACTTGGAAATGGTGATATACTCTCAAGAGTTTCTATGAAAGGAACATTTCCAATTTGGTAAGTCAATATATTTTCTTTGTCGCGTTTGTCGTGTATGAATGAAATATTTTTTATACACTTTATAATACTATACAATTTATATATATTTTGTATAGTGGAAGAGATTTAGCAATTGTAACTAGAAATGAAAAAGATCCAGAAACAGGTATTATTTGGTCTGCATCTTCATCAGTGGTTGATCCATTAATTCCAGAAGATAAAAATCGGGTTCGAGCAAATTTAGAACTTGCAGGATGGAAACTTCGACCTATTTTTGATGAATCTATTCAAGAATATGCGGTAGAAGTGATTTATATTGTTGACATTGATATAAAATTTGATACAGTTCCTGTCTCAATACTTAAGACAATATCATCACAAACACCAATGTGTGTAGCAAGAATTGATGAATTATTAAATAAAATAGGTCATCCACCATATGTAATAAAAACATCAGGAGAAATTCTTTCAGAAGAATTAAACACTATAACTTATCAATATGATCTTAAAATAGGTTCAATTAATAGTGGGAGTATAACAGAAATTAAAACATCAAATATAATGCATCATGGATTTAATATAAGCGTTATACCTGAAAATTCAAAAGTTGAAGTATTATCTCATAATAAAAATATTATACGAATAACTTTACCTAATGTAAAAGTTCTAACTTTGGATATTAAAATTACAAGAAGTACTTCAGGAGGAGGTACTTTTAATGGACAAAGTATTCCTGTCGTTTCCTCGGAACTTATTGAAGAAATAATATTATCGAAACCTATAATATCCATTGATCCTATGGTGAAATTGAAAGAATTAAACAATGAAAATAATCTTTCAACTCCTAAAATTATTACTAAGGAAGAATTAAGCAATCTTTCTATTTCCGAAACTTCCAAAACTATTACTAAAGAAGAATTAAACAATCTTTCTACTCCCAAAACTATTACTAAGGAAGAATTAAACAATCTTTCTATTCCCGAAATTATTACTAAGGAAGAATTAAATAATCTTTCTACTACCGAAACTATTACTAAATTAGAGAATGAAGAGACAACAATAACATCAACAACAAATAATGTTGATATAAATCTTCTGAATGACAAAAATAAAAATGATTTAATTGAAGGTAATATATTAATTTTATTAATTTTATTTATTTTGGTTTAATTTTATTAATTAATTTTATTCTAATTGGTTGATAATAATAATACGATAGAAGTAGAGGAGAAATATGTTCCAGAATTTGATTTCCGTGATCAACCAAAAATAGTAGACGAAAAGGACCAGGAATCTTCACCGAAATATATTCCACAATCCATAAACACTGAAACCACACCAAGATATATTCCAGAATATAATTTCATCGAAAACGTTATACCATCAAATAGTAACGAAGTTGATTCAACTGAAAGTAATATTAATTTATTAATTTGTTTATTTTGATTTAATTTATTAATTTTATTAATTTTATTCTAATTGTTTTTTATAAAAATAAATAAATCAATGGATCAACCAAAGAAAATGACCAAAAATCTTCACCGAAATATATTCCACAATTCATAAACATTAAAACCACATCAAGATATATTCCAGAATATAATTTCATCGAAAACGTTATACCATCAAATAATAACGAAGTTGATTCAATTGAAAGTAATATTAATTTATTAATTTTGTTTATTTTGGTTTAATTTATTAATTTTATTAATTTTATTCTAATTGTTTTTTTATATAATAATAATAAAAATAAATAAATCAATAAATCAATGGATCAATCAAAAATAATAGACGAAAATGACCAAGAGTCTTCACCGAAATATATTCCACAATTCATAAACACTAAAACCACATCAAGATATATTCCAGAATATGATTTCATCCACAACGTTATCTCATCAAATAATAAACGAGATTCTTCAATTCCTTCTTCTTCTACGACAAGAAGTTCTCGTAGAATATCTTCACGTATGTTACCTGAATCCATGATGAATCTTACCCGATATGAATCAGTGAATATCAGTAATAATAATAATAACATCAATAATGAGATAATTCAATTTATCAGTACTAGAATTGGAATAAATCTTAGTGATTATAATGAAATTAGTTTTACTCCACAAGAAACTGCTTTAATGTTTTTCTTTATGATGGTTTCTTATTATGCAGGAAAATTTAATGGATTTGGATGTGATTCGAAATAATTAGAATATAATTTAATATATATATATCTATTTTTTCTATTATCTCAATGTATAAAAATAATAATTAATTAATTACATTACATTAATATAATAAAATTTTTTATTTCCTTTTCGGAAAAAAATTCTTCTTATAAAATCAAGAATTATCGTATTAAAGGATTTTCGAGTTCAAATGAAATAATGATTATAATAACTTAAATTATACAGAACTATTATCTATAATAATGTCATTAATATCGAAAATTCCAATTCTTTTCTTCTTTCATCGAGAGTTTTTTTTTTTTTTTTTAATAAATTATTACAATCACATCACACATTAATCAAGTTTAATAAGATTAATCAAGGGAGGAGGGGAATTAAGAACAACATTTTCTTGAAGTTTTATTTTCTCGAAATTTTATTTTCTCTCTTATTAAATAAAATATCTTAATTTTTCTTCCAAATACCACTAGAAAATCCTTTAACAAAAAATTTTTGTACCAAATGGAGGACCAATTCTTGAATATTGGTTCATAGCTTTAATGCCTGAACCTTTATTAATTTCAAAAGGTTTTATTTCGGAATGTAAAATTCCTTGAAATTTTGGTATCTTTCTCATCATAAAAATAGGTTTATTAGTGTTGGTGGCGGTAACGGTAGAGATATCAATAATAATGTTAACGATCAATAATAATGTTAATAATGTTAGCGATCAATAATAATATAAAAATAAAATTATTGTCACTTTAGATAACATTCTCTCTAAATTATAAAAAATTATAAAAAATTAGAATAATCAAATATTCAATACATTTTTTATATTTCATTAGGTATTTATAACTTTAAAACTTTCGCTCTACATTGATGCATTATTGATATTGATGACATCTTATATCAGAATTAAATGCATCAAAAGTTTCATGATTTTCTTGCAGATATTTACATTTTCTTAGCCCCCAACGTTACACATCATAATATCAAAGATATAAATTAATAAGATCTTCATGATACAGACCAATGTATATATATTTTGTGACGTTGTGCGTGTTTACATTTTCATTTACATTTTCATTTATTTATTTTATATACTTTAAAAAAAATATCTTTAAAATGAGTTTTATTTATCCAATTCCTACTACAGGTTCAATATCTTTTTCTGATTTTTTATTAGATGAAGATAATAAATATATAAATGAAATTTCCGAAGCAACAGCTCAAAGAGGCAGAGTTCGAGCTGTTTTAAAAGAGGCCAATAGAACGGAAGAACCAAAAGATTATACAAAAATTCTTAAGGTAATTGTCTAAAATTTTATTTATTATTTACTAAATTTGATTTTTAAATTTTATTAAAAATTTTACTAATAATTAATAATTCATAACAGACAGTTATTGATTATATTCCATATTTATTGGGTATTATAAAGTGTCTGGAAGGAAATCAATTGAAATTTAAAAAAGAATTTGGTAATTTTAATATTAATTAATATTAATTTAATAATAATAATAATAATAATAAAAAATAGAGATTATTTTTAAATAATTAATTATATTAATCATTAATCACAGAAATTATTGAAAAATTATTAAAAATTAGAAACCTCATGGCGTTGTTCTCTTACTGATCCAGTTCTTAAAAAAAAACCACGAATTTCATGTCGAGGAATACATTATGAATTAATATTTATATTTTTAACATATGGATATGCATGTTCTAATAAAGCATCAAGTAGCATAGAAATACAAATGCAAAAGGATGAATTTGATAATACATTAAAACAGGTTAACTATTAATTCTAGAATTCATTTCCTTTCCTTCTAGAATTTTTAAAATAACACTTTTTTTTTTATTTTATTTTAGGCTGCAGAATTATTACGAAAAGTATCTGGAATTTTTGCATATATTGCCGAAAAAGTATGTCCTACTTGGCAAAATCCACCAGCCACAAGACCACCAGATGTTTTATCAGAATTAGCTGCATCAATGTCAAAGTAATATTATTTAAAAATGTTTATAAATGTTTATAATAGTTTATTATAGTTTATTAATTTTATTTATTTAATTTTATATATATATATATATATTTATATTTATATTTAGGGTTGCATTAGCTGATTCATCATCAATTGCCATTCGTAAAGCTTTAATGCAACAAACATCATCATCGTTACTTGCTAAATTATCTATTGGAGTTGCAGGACATTATGAAATGGCTAATGGTCTCATTAAGAGTTTAGGAGATTCAAAAAAAGTTTGTGGTGATTTTCGAAAGTATGTTTCTAATGGAGCGTTATTTCATCAGGTTAAGCATTAAATTATTAATTATTAATTATTATTATTTAAAGTTTAATAAATTATAACTTTAATAACTTTATTTTTTATTATAGTCACTTGGAAAAAAATTCTTAGCGAAAGATGCTTATGAGCATCAGTAAGTTTATCAATGTATTAATATATAAATACTGTAAATACTGTAAATATTGTATATATAAAAATATAAATATATATATATAATTATAATTATATTTAGATATAACATTTTAATTTATTTTAATTGCTATTATTTTTATAGACAAATTGGAAAAGCAGTTGGATTTATTAAAGAAGCCAAAGAAGTTTTTTATCTACTCACTAAATCAAAATCACCTACTATTGCTAAACATGCCTTACAAGAATATGAAGAAGTAGATGAATTATATAAGAGATATGTTGGATTTAATGATAAAGTTAGTAAATACATTTCTTACATGTATTCAAATAATTTATTAATTCATACATAAAATGATAAATTCATAGGTTGCATGTGAAAAAGTACCACCAAAAGCTGATCTTCAAGCACTTATTCCTGGTGGAAGAGGAGTTCATGATATGATAAAGTATACTCCTCCAAAACCTGCATTTGGACCTGATTCTGAAAGAGTTATTACTACTACTTGTGGTATAAATTATATAGGAGAGCATTCATATTATTAAATTATTAATAATATATTCTTAAATTATTATTAATAGTGTTAGATTACTTTATTGTTGTTGTTGTTAAAATTGTTATTTATTAAATTTATTAATACATTAATATATTATTACATAATTGATTAATTATTAATTGTAATGTATGAAAGAATAAATGTTATTCATTTATAATTATTGGTTACATTATTTAATCAAGCAATTCTACTTTATAATTACTTGATATCTCATATGGTAAAGATGAAAGTTCTGGTAAATGAATCATATGTTGTCCAAAATAGATTTTACCCTAATTAAAACAATAAAATACAGATAACAAATTGTAAAATATAAAAAAATAAAAAAATAAAAAATAACAAATATAACAATAATATAATAATAATATAATAATAATATTATAATAATAAAATTACTATTAATATTATAATTACCTTAACTCTTCTATACTTTGCCAAAGTAGAATAAGGTTCTTTGGTCTTTTCACAAGTTTCATGATTAATACATACCATTTGACATCTTTTACATGGACTTATAATCTAATTATTGATTTGATATAATTGATGTTTGTTAATCTAATTAATATAATTGATATAATTTTCAACAATTTGGGATATAACATACCTTAAATACTTGTCCTCTAATTTTGATCATTTTCCATTTATCTTCTTCATACTCTTGAATATTTCCATTTATCACAAGATTTGCTCTAAAACAATCTTCAACAATTTTTAGGTTTTCACATTTTTTCCGATTTTCATATGAACATGATGATTTCTTTGTAAAATTATTTTTATTTCCCTCATTCTTCATTTTTTCTGTTTTGTTGATATTGTTAATATTATAACAGTCATTATCACCATTTTTAATATATTGAAATCTATTATTCTCATTATTATTTGTATCATTATTATATTCATCATTATATTCTAGAATCTTTTGATTAACATGATCAACACTCTTCTGTGATATCAACAAAAACGGTGATTCGTTTGATAATGAAAGTGGCAAATTTGATGTGGAATTAAGCAGGTATGGTTTTACGAATCTATTAAGATTATTGTTATTATTGTTGTTGTTGTTGTTGTTGTTGTTGTTTAGAGAAAACTTTGTTGGTGGTTGACGTGCTAATCTGCAATTAACTCCCAGAAATTCAGTGAACCATCGTGTAATATGTTCAGAGATGTATACCAATGTTTTAACACTTTTAAAATAATATTTATAATATTTAGTTTATTGAATTTCTTAACAATAAAGAATAACAATAAAGAATAAATACTACTCAACTTGTCACCGCAAACTTGAGATGAACATGTTAAAAATTCAAACTCATTTGGATATTCATTTAAACTTATCTGTAACGGTTCTTTACCTGTTCAAAAACAAAAATTATTTATTAAATTATTTTATTAAAATTATTATTTTTAAAAAAATTTACCAGGTGCAGTAATAATTAGTAATTCTTTTCCTCTAATCACTTCTGGATGAATTAATGTCATTTTTGGATATCTTTTAATTTATAAATTATAAATTATAAAAATTATGGTTAATATTTTTAATGATAAAAAGTTTTAATAAAAATTTTAATGGAAATTTACAATTTTTGACTTAATGCCCTTCCAGTCTCAATGCTTATTAACATCCATTCTCTGTCATGTAATAAACCTTGATTTATTATTGGCCAAGATATTGATGATGGTATAGTAAATCCATGACATGATTTGATAGGATCTATGTATAAAAAATATATTTAATTATTTTTTTAAATAAACAAATAAACAATTTTATCAATTTTATTCAATTATATTAAATGAATTCGAAATATTATACATACACAATATTAACCTCTTTAATGTTATATGGGAATTATTATTAATAATTTCAGTTGTTCTAATGTTATTTGCCACATTATTTGTTTCCATAATATTTGCCACTTTATTTGTTTCCACAAAATAAGTTTTAAAGAAATCTAACCATATAAGGATATCTTCAATAGTTGTCATAGCTCCTAAAGAGATACGAATTGTTCCAGTAGGTTTGCTATCAAATATATCATTATCATCTCCACAAAGTTTACCATTCTTAAAATTTTTAATAATTTCGTCACTTGATAAATTTACCCATTTTGCCATACATCCAGGATTACAATGTGTTCCAGCACCTATATGAATTCCATTAACACTAGCTAATTTTTCTAATTCAATAAATCCTATCCAAGATCCATCTGAGCGTCTTGCATTAAAATTAAATATTGGACCTTGAATTTTATTATTTGAAAAATCATTATTGGAATGAATTATACAAACACTTTTACCATTCCAATGTTGATATGATTTCATTTTAATATAAAGAAATTTAATTAAAGATGTTACATGTTTCGTTATAAATTTATAATCCATATAAATTTCTTTCATAAAATTAAATGAATGATCAAGTGCTATAATATCCAAAAAATTTAATGTACCATCTTCATAACGTTCACTTAAATCCTTTTTAAATTCTTGCCAAGGTTTATCATATGAAATAGCATTTATTGTTCCACCTCCAAAATATCGTTTTTTTAATATTGAATTTAATTCCGATTTTATTATTAATGCACCTAATCCTGTAGGAAATCCAAACATCTTATAAAAACTTAATACAACAAAATCAGGTGAATTATCTTTATCAATTAAAGATAATAATGAAGTTGATGAATAAGCTGCTGAATCTAACAAGACCAAGAATTTCGATTTTTCTGTATTAAATTTTTTGATTTGAGATATCCAAGAAAGAGGAAATCTTTGACCAGAAAAGTTACATTGTGCTGGATAAGCAAATAAATTATAAATCACATCATCATCATTATTATTATTATCATCATCATTATTATTATCATTATTATTATTTTCATAACTAAATAGAATATTTAAATCATCTTCAGTTACAACTTGAATATTTGGAGAATTAGATTCTTTTGCAAAATTTCTTAATCCTATTAAACTATTATGTGATTCTCTTAAATATTTAAAATTACTTTTTCCAATACTCCAAGGAAATATTTCACCAACTAATTTAATTGCTGCTGTTGCATTTTGTGTAAATATTACTTGATATTCTTCAGGTTTAGCATTAAAATGTTTAAGAATTCTAGCTCTAACTTGATCTACTCGTTTTGAAGTATTCTGTGCAGATGGATTTCGAGAATGAGGATTTCCATATAAATTATTAGTAAGATCTTTAGTGAAAGAAGTGAATACACTTTTTGGATAAATGGTTGAACCTGAATGGTCAAGATATGTTATCCCTAATTTGATTATATTTATTTAATTAATTATATTTAAGAATTATTATCATTATCATTATTATTATTATTATTATAATTATTATCATTATTATTATTATTATAATTATTATCATTATTATTATTATTATATTTATTATCATTATCATTATTATTATATTTATTAAATTAAAAAAATTATTAACTGTTTATGTACCTTTTAAATGAGGATATTCATTTTCGCGAATTATATCAATTTTACCATTATATCCATATTGATTTGAAAATTCTCTCAAAAATTCGTTTTTTTCGATTTCAAAATTCTTTATCTTTTGTGAAAAAGACATTATTTTTCATGGTTAATGATATGAAGTAATCATATGACTAAATGAACGTTGAACTCAATTGAATTCAATGATCAAAATTAAATAAATGAATCATATTCACAATCATTTCTATTTCTATTATTATTATTTATCATAAAAATTCCCAAAGCTTGGAAGTCAAACTTTATAAAGTATAAAGTGATTTACTGCATAAACGGATTTGTGCCCTTAAAAGGCAATAAAAAAGTTATGAATTTGTATTACAATAAATAAGTTCTTGAAAAAAAAAAATGGGCGCGCACGATGGAAAAAAAGTCACCGTTACTTGTTAGAATTTACTTTAATATCTTCTTTATATTCTTTATCTTCTTTAAAATGTCGTCTTTCATTAGAAATGTCTTTGATTTTTCCTCAATTCCTTAGATTTCGATGATGAAATTTGGTTATCTGTTGCTGATGCATTCAAATCTCATCTTCCAATTCGTAACTTGCATTGGAAATCAGCGAAAGGTACATTGCGTAATATAAACGCATTAGACATTGAAATGAAACGATTTTCTCCTGATTCCACCGAAAAGCAACATATGATGCCAGAGACTCTACTAGAAAACCCTTATCTCAATTTATATTTTGTTAATTGTGACGTACGTATTAAGCAATTTTGTATATATTTTGAATTCTATAATTGTTAAAACTTTAAATTGACAAATTTTCATCCCAATTTTGAAAGGATAATGATGCATATCGTACAGTAGTTCGACAGAAAATTCGTGATTGGATTAACATTGTTACCTCGAAAAGAAATCAAGAATGGTTAATAGTTTATGTTACTAAACAGGAAACATTTAGAAATGCTGCAAGATATTTTAATATGAAGGGAACTGTATTTGATAAAATTAAAGCTGATTTCTCTATTAATAAGCGAGAAAGGTAAAATAATATATTTACATGAATATTTCATATTTTGTATATTAAGTTCATTAAGTAATGTTAAGTGCTTGTGATCTTATGATTTTCAATATTTAGATATGTACAACTTCGTCTCTCTGATAATGATGGTGAAGATTACGAATCTTGGCAAGAACTGATGACAAAAGTAAAAGAAGGAATCTTAATTAGTTTTGATCAGCATGTCGTTCAATATGAAGAAGATATACGACTTTTTGACTCTCAAAGAAATATGATTGGTTGGAATTATTGTCGATTTTTTATATTGAAGGTAATTCTTTTATATTATTATCTCGATGTATGGTATGTAGAAGATTCAAAGAAGATGTAGATAATGTAGAAAGTTGATTTTTATATAAAATTTTATAAATTATTAGGAAGGGTTGGCTTTAACATTTGAGGCCATGAATTTGTATGAAGAAGCATTAGTTCAATATGAAGAATTAGAGGCTTCATTTTCACAAGTTTTGAAAGGTAAGTTTATCATTGATCTATCTTTTATATATCTTATATTATATTATATTATATGTATCTTGTATTAATATATCTTTTATTTAATGGTTATTACTTATATTAATTTAGATAGGGCTTTGGCCTGGTTTGGTAGCTTTGGAGCTACAGATTTTGAAGATGATAGTGCTAACATATTGGATATCAAAAAGAAGAATTATAGAGATCTTATTATGCAAAATACAATTCCCGAATTTGATTTTAGGAGTTATTTATTTGCTAGGCAATGCCAATTATTGGGAAGATTACAAAGACCAGTAGATATTTGTCGAAGGGCACAATTATTTATTTCTACTTTTGGAAGAGCAATTAAAGAACAACAAACAATTGTTGGAGAGCATTTTCTTGAGTCATGGATTTACTCTTCATGCATGAGTGTAGTTAATGAATGTGAAGAATTGTTTTCATTCACTTCTTTGGATGATCAATCATTAATGGCATTTAATGCAGCTAAAGGTGAACTCTTAGATTTGGCTAGAAAGCAGGTAATGGAGTATTATTTTTTTTTTTAAATGAATTTTTCCTTTATTTTATTGATTTGTATTTGACTCATATTTTTCCATATATAGTTGGATAAGCTTGGTATTTATTATAAACATCTTCCACCTTCTCTTCCTTTCACAACGGCTTTGAGTGAAGTAACACATCCAACTTCACCCATTCTTGAGAACGAAAGCAAGAGAAATTTCACCATAACCAATAAAGAATTAAATGAAGCCATTGAAAACACGGATTATCAAAAATTTGATTTACTCTACTTGGTAGGTAGTCATTACAATAAGTCATTGTATAACATCATTGATTATATGGTCAAGAAATGCCTATACGCATAATTCTGACTATTTGTTTTATTATAAAGTCGATCACAAATAGAGCATTGAAGGCTTATGAAGGAAGTACTCGTGTTCATAGTTCATATCGTTTATCAGGAGATGTTGCGGCTTTGCAATTGTAAGTCTTGATAATATTATAATAATAAAATTTTAATTAATTTAATTGATGAATTTGATATTTTCTAATATTTTGTTTCCATTGTTAGTCATCGTAAAAATTATGAAAGTGCTGCACAATTAATGGAAGATTTACCCTGGCGATATGGTGAACAAGGATGGACTGTTATTGAAAATAGTATTTGGCTTAAATATGCAGCTTGTCAGAAGGAATTGAATCAAAATAAGAAATATCCTTTTTATTTTTTTATTTTTTAATTCTCATTTATATTTATATTTATATTTATATTTATAATTCATTTATATCCTTGACTATTGATTCTTCAAAACTTATGTGTTATCTTGTCTCTCTTTGTTAAAGAATCATACTTTATTGTCAAATGATGATGCTGTTTTTTATTCTGAAGAGGTAAAAAAACGTTGTAAATCTCTGGAGAAAGGTGAAGGTACGAAAATAATAGTAATGATATTTTGGCATATATTCAATCATGATTATTTAACTATAACACACATTCAATTTTCTCTAGATATTGTACGGCCATTCAAGCCAATGTTTGAAGTCTCTGTAAAAGCTATGGTTGACGATATTACTGATGAAGACGGACCTTATTTAGCAGTTGAATTGACAAATCTTTTGCCAATAGTAATTATTTAATTTTTGTAATTTCCACTTGATCTATTAGCTTTATATAAAAGAATGTATTAAATTTTATTTAAAATAGTCATACACGTTCGACGAACTAGTTGTTCATTTGGTAAATAGTCAGTCCGAAGGAATTTGGTTTGGTATACGAGATCAGGAATTAAACCCTGGTTCAAATGAATACAAGCTTTATTCCGATGTAAGAATATATTATTTATTTTTTTTCATCGACACGTTGATATTTAGGAGTCTTGAATTGGATTTTTTTTTTTAATAACATCCAATTTCGTTTTTTACGAATTTCTTAGAACAGTGCTTCCGGAAATTATGTTGCTGAAAATATTCATATGTCTATGGGAAAAGTAGTTTTCATGCAAAATTTCTTGAATGAAAACAAAAAGAAATCATTTAGAATAAATGAACATCCCGCAGTCTTAAGAGCGCAAATAATTGCACCTAATGAAAGTAAGTTTTGAAGTTTTATTATAATTAATTTTTATTAAGAATATTTAGGATAAATTTAATAATTGTACAAATTCAATATTTCATTTTATATCTAGTTCATGTTGGCGAACAACAATATTTTATTGCTCAAATTTTCACTGGATTAACTAATGTAATAAAAGGCACACTTACACTTGATCCTTTATCCGAAGGTCTAACTTTTCCACAAACTGATAAATACCAAGCAGTTGTTAAGATTATGGATCGTATGTAATAGAGTAATAATAATATAGTTATTTCTTTTATCATATAAATGTGTTTTTAACATAGAATCTCATATTTTATAGATGGTGTTATATCGAATGAGATTGATTCGGAAATGGAATTAAATGTTTCGGAAAATAATCAAATACAATTACCACCATTACAACCGAATAAATTAATTCAGTTCAAAGTCCCATATGATTTTAATTGGAATTCTATTGAACACAAAGTAATCTTTGAACATTTATTATGCTTCTGAGATGTTTATATTTATTTATAATTATAAAACAATTTATTTTCAAACAATTTAAGGAACAAATTAAATTAACTGTAATATATGATCGTAAAGCAAAATCGCGGATTTTTACAGCTGTAAATACAGTCAAGATTTGGTTACCATTAACTGTTACTGAATTAAATATTTTTCGGGAAAATTGGTATTTATTTATTTATTTATTTTATTTATAAAGAATTCGTTTATTGATTCTAATATCAAAAAGATAAGTTATAATATAATTATCTTCAAAGTTTGTTCTTAAAAATGGACGTCACATTAAACGGATATATTCCTGTGCGAATTCTTGATACATCTTTGGTTCCATCAAAAGTTTATGATGTTGTTGATAGTCCACCTCTGGCATCTCCAATTGTGGTAAGGAGTCATAATAATGAATTGATTTTAATAATTTTATTATTTTAAATTAATACTTATATAAAGAAATACTCTTCTATAATAAAGAATTTATTCGTAAAGCAGCATGCCTCGTTTGTTTATAAACTAATGAGATCAAAAGGTAACAAAAAAAAAAAAAATTTAATCATTATTCAAACCAGGAACATGTGATCCCATGAATTCTTGTGAAATATATTATTCACATTTAATATTATATTGATATTTAGATTATAATCTCAGTGAGCATGCAAAATCACCAAGCACTCAGATTCATTTTATCGTAACATATCGGACGCTTCAAGACGGTAAATTTATTAGACACAATTTTCATTTCAGTCATTTCAATCCAATTTTATTATCTTACGCCAAGAGATCATTTAATAGAAGTAGAGAAGTTTGTTGAATATAATTTAAATAAACTCCTGGAATCAAAGAATCTATTGCAACATTCTCGATATCTTCTTGAAAACGCGAAAGAATATTTATTAAAAGCGGTGGATTATGTGACGTATGGTATGACAGACGTACTAGATTTAGGCGAATTGAACATAGTACAATGTGAAAGCCTTTTTATGGCCCACGGAATCTTTAAGGATTCGTTAATAGAAGTTGTTAAAGAATTTTGGCAGGTAGAAATATTACTTGTTTTCATTTACGTTACATTTACGTTACATTTACGTTTCCAAATTTTAATTACTTATATTAATCAATTATATTAATTATATTATATTTAATTAAATATCGATAATTAGATTTGTAATCATTCATCTTATGCGAATATCATAAAAGTTTCTGGTGATCTTAAATCCTCAATCTCGTTCCCTGTTGATGTACCTTCTTCAAAGGTAATTTTTTATTATAAAATAAATATTATTGTTGAGATTACATTATGTATTTAATATTTAATATAATACCCGTAAAAAAAAAAATATTAGGTTCTGAACACTGTAGAATTAGTAATATCCAAGCCTAACGATTTGGTTGTTGGAGAACCATGTCATTGCCGTTTGGTTATTAGACATTCTTCTTATTGGGATTACGCATTTCAAACTGATAACAATAATCCATTTGAATTCTATTACGATGTTCATGTGGATTTTGATAATTGGTTGTTAGCTGGACATAAAAAATTATGCTTTACTTCGAAGGTAAAATTTAAGTAAATTCTAATTTAACGTTTTGAAATAATTTTCAAATGTTAATAATGTTAATTATAAAAAAAAATTTAGGTTGGTGAAACCAAAGAATTCCCAATTACGCTGGTACCTTTGAAAACTGGATTCCTTCTTGTTCCTCTAATAAGAATCGCCAGTCCTTCTCCTAATGTATTTTCTGAGACTGTTTACCTAAATAATGCTGAACAAGTTCTTGTTCGACCTCGTACTCAATCAGCAACGTTTTTCATTGAACAACAACATCGTATACATTCAATACATTCAGGTTCTGGATTTGGTGGTCCTGGGCATCATCATAATGATTCGGGCCTGGACGATATTAATATTGATTAAAACTTCGAACTTAATTTTGGAGATCATTATATATATTCTCGTTTGTAAATTTCTTTGTATTATTTATTTATTTATTTATTATTTTATTTAATTATTGAACCATTAATAATATTATTAATATTAATTAACAATGTGCAACAATATATGTTTTAATAGAATCAATAATGTGATTTCGATTCGATTTTTAAGCATCATAATAGACAAAATAGACTTTTAATTGTAAAAATGCTATTATAAATTAAATTATCTGTTTACTATAGAAGAAAATGATTTAACATTTTTTTTTTTTTTATTTTGTCATTAAAAACATGACTGTGGAAAAGAAATCCGATAATAGTATTTTTTTGTTTATTTTCTTTTCTTCAAATGATATTTTTCTTGTTTAAATAACGGTTGGGCCTAAGCCATACGAACATACCGAAACAAGGAATAGTCAGCCAACAGCCGGGTAAGACGTGTAGAAATAACTAAGTATTTTTTGAATCTGAGATTCCAAATTTGGTTAGTTATGATAAAATTTATTCTATACGTGTGACTTTTGTTGTCATTCCCAAAAACTTCGATTTCGAGCGTACACTACGTACAACATAAATTGTAGTGTAAAATTAGAACAAAGTATATTGTCGATCTTCGAGATTATAAAAAATAATTCTTGGTTAGAAATCATCAAAAAAAAAATTTTTTTAATTTTCTACCTGAAAGAAGAAAACCTTTATTCCTGAATTATTTGAATTATTTCAAAATAACGTTATATACAATTAAAATCCAATTTTAAATTTTTATTCAAAATGAGTACAAGCATGCAACATCAACAACCACATCCATACAACACCCGAATGAAATCTAAGAACATTTCAAATTCTACGTTAACAAAACAAGAACGTCAGCTTATGAGAAAGGATACAAACACGAATTTAAGAAACGGTGACCAAACAAGAATGAAAGCTAATATACCGTCGCGTATGAGCGTTATGATTAATACAAAACGGAGAACCGAGAACAACGAAATTCACGCCACATTTTCAAATAAAGGGGTTGATTTTTCAAAAATACGAACGATATATCCATACAAGGACGAAAATAAACCAAAAAGGTTATATAATTTGCCAGAAGGAAAGTCATTCTATCCCTCTTGGGAAGAATTTAAGGACCCATATAAGTATATAGCTAGCATTTCCGAGGAAGGGTCCAAATACGGAATCGTAAAAATAATACCACCGGAAGGGTGGAAACCAAGCTTTTCATTGAATGTTGATGTAAATATATCAAATGAATTCTTTGTTACTATATCTCAAATAAAATACTAATTTCCGTCTCATTTCTTTGGATTTAGAGATTCAAATTCCAGACCCGTAAGCAGAAAGTTAACATTATGGAAGGCGAAACAAGGGCCAAACTCAATTTCATTGAACAATTACAACAATTTCACGCTCAACAAGGTCGTCCGTTTACTAGGTTGCCTCAACTTGATAAGGCGCCGATTGACCTCTACAAATTGGCAAAGGCTGTCTCTAATCGTGGTGGTCCTATTGAGGTATGTGTTGGTTTTATTCTATTTACTCTCTTTAATTTTCCATTTTATGATATTTTTTTTTTTTTTAGAAAAATAAACTTAATATTGAATTTTATATAGGTGTCTAAAAATAAACAATGGGCTGAAGTAGCTCGTGAAATTAAAGAAGGTGGATATTCTCAAACGTGTACATCCGCCTCAAAAACCATTAAAGAACGTTATTACGATTTTATTGATCCCTATGAAAAGTATGTATCAGAAGTAAGGAAAGAATGTAAGCGAAGGGGAAAATCGGAGGAGAAACGGGATAATACATGGATATGTGGAAAGTGTGGTAATTCGACAATGGGCATCGTGAAAGAAGATATGTTACATTGTAGTGGAGGCTGCGATAGGACATTTCATAGAGAATGCCTCAATATAAAGAAAAATCGACTAAATTCTAGCATACAATGGCACTGCCCAATGTGCTTGTTTTTGACCGGTTCGGATTTCGGATTTGAACCTGGAAATACCTTCACTCTGGATGAATTCCAGGAATATGCAGACAATTTTATGCAAAAACATCTTAAGGAACACCTCAATCCGGTAGGAGTTTCAAAAGAGGACTTCATAGAATCTGAATTTTGGAGAATCGCTCACTCAATGGATGATAATACAGAAGTGTTTTACGGAGCTGATATAAACTCGACAGATTACGGAAGGTAAATAATAAAGTTTTTTTTTTTTTTTTTTATTCTATTGCAATAAATAATTATTTATTAATAAACTAATCTTTATTCTTAAATTTCTTTTAATTTCTTTATAGTGGATTCCCGTGTAATGAACGAGACCGTAATCATCCTTACGCTAATGATCCGTGGAATTTAAGGAACCTTCCACGCTTAACAGGTTCCTTGTTACATGATGTAACCCCTGCCATCCCAGGAATGATATTGCCCTGGGTCTACGTCGGGATGGCGTTCTCGGCATTTTGCTGGCATGTCGAGGACCATTATACATATAGCACAAATTACATGCATTGGGGGGAAACAAAAACTTGGTACGGGATCCCCGCCTCGAATGCACATAAATTCGAGGCTGCAGCAAAGAAGCTCTTGCCGGACTTATTTCAGCACCAACCGGACCTCCTAACCCAATTGACGACGATCTTAAACCCGGGGAAACTAAAGGAGGAAGGTGTCGAGGTGTATGCCATCGACCAGCGGCCAAATCAGTTCATCGTCACCTTCCCACAGGCATATCACGCCGGGTTCAACCACGGGGTGAGTTTTGGTAAAATTTTTTTCTTATTATTAAAATTTATCACTAATATTATTTTTATATTATATATTTTAGTTTAACTGTAATGAGGCCGTCAATTTTGCCTTGCCTGATTGGATAAAGTTTGGATCAGAATCAATAAAATTCTATAAAGAAATTAAACGCCACCACGTATTTTCACATGAGAGACTACTATGGGATATCGCTATCAAGAATCACAATAACTATGGAATTGTAAAATGGTTAGTAATATTTAATTTGATAAATATTATTTATTTTCAAATGTGCGATTTACACTTATATTTTAATTATTTAATTAGGCTTAAGGAGCCTTTAAAAGAAATAATTTCTAAGGAAATCAAACTAAGAGCTGATATCTCCGCAAGTGTGAACTTACCAGAACCAACATATAACTTCGGAGAACAGAATGAAAATGAATTAGCGGTATGCGAACATTGCAATGGATTCGCATACCTTTCTATGATCAAATTTAAATGCAACGAAAAAGCTCTATGTCTTGAACACGCAAATGAAACTTCAAAATGTTGCACTTGCGGAGAAAAATGCTGCTTCCTTCAGGTCCGCGTCAAAGATTTCCATATGAGAAACTTAATGGAAGCATTCGACAATACTTTAGAAAATGGTGAGAATACTAGACGCCACATCGAAAATACATTTGAAGATAAATCACCGATACCAGCAGCAAAGTTTGAAATAGTGTATGATATGGTTAAAGAGAATGGATTAGAATTCGAAATGACAACATCATCACAGATGTTTATTGATAAATCATTCTCTTTGTACCGAAAGATAATCAAATATTGTTATAAAATTGCAAGGAACATCTTCCCCAAGATTTATAATGAAATACCGATAAGTCAATTCAACGTAACAGAATTTTTAATTAAATGGGAAAAACGATGTAGGCGATACCAATCTACCACAGATTTACCCCCTTCGAATGAAAAACATTATTGTTTCTGCCGCCGACCAGACAATTACAAAACAATGATTCAATGTGACAATTGCAGCGAGTGGTATCATGTCGAATGTATACAATTGAATGATAAAAGTGTAAAAAATATTGAAGATTGGACCTGCGCCATGTGCGCCGAAGGGATCGAAAACATAGCTAAAAAGATCAAGAAGCTATTAATCAAATTAAGGAAAATCATAAAAGCCTCGGCCGAGTTTGATTTTGCAATTAGACACGGTGACCGATTGGTCAGCATTATCGGTATAATCAAGCAAATGATAGGGAGGACAGAATTTGAGGTTCGCAGATTAATGGGCCTCGGGTTAGCAATATCTTGGACCAATACAACGGACCCCATGGAAATTGAATAGCATCTTTACGTTATGCAGTTCCCGGCCGTTATAAAGTTTAACGAACATAAAAATTGTGAAAGTGATAAATGATAAATGTAAATCAAGGAAGGAATTGATGATAATTAAGAAAGGAGTTGATATTTATCCTTATGTGATTACATTGATAATTTGAGATCAAAATAAAGAGGTTTTAAGAATTTTCGGTCTTTATGAGTATTTATAGTTTTCTTACATTGTTTGATTTTTAACCAAAAAATTCTTCTAACTTTAATTATTTGGTTGTTCCATTAAAAATTCATAGAAGAATTTGTTCCTTAATTTTATTCGAAATATAATCTTGAAAATTTCTAAAGTTTGTTCGTTAATCGTTGAAACTTCATGTACTACCAAATTTTAATTTTGCGTTCAATTATAAGTTTTTATGAAATAGATTTCTATCAATCCATTATGTGCGGTTCTTTCAATTTCCAGAAAGACGTTTTGATCTTTTAAAACTTTCTGTATGAGAGATAAGTCACATTAAGTTATAATTGTGTCGTCAAAATAATATTACTTTTTATATTTATCATTTAAAAAATGAATTAAAAACATATTTTCTTAATAATCTATATACACAATTGTGCTTCGCAGCAGCATTCAGAATAACTCTTTCCGCATTTTTCGTATTTTTTCATTTAATTGCTGCATTAAATATCTAATTTGGTGCTTTTTTGTTGTTTAATCCCATAATCCACATTTGGCACGATTATTTCATTAGTTAAATAAATTCAAATTCGGGAATGTTGAATCGCGACTCGATATCATGTGATCAACGAGATCTTGTTTATAAACCTATTATTAACAAAAATAAAAATATCGACAATTGAAGATATGGAAACCGAAGAAACCATTTTACTCAATTACTTTTTGAATAGCGAACTTCAAGATAATATAACCCTTCAACAATTTATTAAAAAATTTCCTCCCGCTTATAGGTACCATGTTGACCTTATTATATCTTTCTTTTTTTTTCGAGTTCGAGAACTTTTTATTATTTATTTATATTTCATGGAAAAGATATTATCTTAAATGTATATATTTCATGTAACAAAAATATTCTTTCTTTTTAAAAGTTCAAACCCACAAATTAAAACTTTATACAAAGAATATCATGATCAAAGAAGTGAAAATAGGAAACTTGTTAAAAAGAATACTGTTGAAGAGTGTAAAAAATCTGATCAATGGAATAATGTGAAAATTCCATGGAAAAAAAGAAAAGAGGATGAGATGGACATTGATGAGGATGAAATAGAAGATGAAGTAAATAATCTCCTAAAAAAAAAGAAATTAACGGATGACTTAAATAATTTAAATAATTTATTGATTATTAAAAAACATTTAGGAGGATGATGATGACCGTTTGACATTAGACCAAGCAAATAAACTACTTTCGACAGAAGAAAAGAACATGTTACATGAAATCAATTTTATGAAACATGAATGCAAAAAATGGATTCAAGATATTCAAAGGTAATTATTGATGACAATTATAGTAATTAAATTAAATATATACTATATATACTGGAATTTATATTTATAAGTAAATCTGTTTTCCTGAAATATTGTTATTAAAAAGAATTAATGGAAATATGAGTGACTTGAGGTATGGTAAAATCTTACCAGAAGTTATTAGGGAAGAAGAAATAATTAATGAATTAAAGGTTTGTTTTGGTATTAGAAGATCTTTGTTAAAAAAAAAAGAAAATCTTTAATTTTACATTTTCACTTTTGTTTATTTCATTAGGAACTGATTTCCACATGCGATTCGCTAAACTTGTTAGATTGTACTTGATCTATAAAATCACGTTATTAAAGTCATATGATGCCATTCGTACCAATAATTATATGACCTTAAATTGTTCTATCATTTAAGTTTTATTGAATTATTCATTTTTATATTGATCGCATTGATTGTTTATGTTATTTTTGTCTTGAATTCAAGAATTTATTCAACATTCCGATTTTGCAAGATTGTATGAAGAATAATATTTCAGGTTGTTGGAGATCGATCTTTTATATGGAGTGAAATTTTAATAATTTTTTTGTGATCAAGTATTTGATTTTTTTTATTTCATTCTTTCTTCGTTTAAGGTAATAATAATATTTTGCGCACATATTTTTAATAAATATTTTGTGAAAATTATTACCTAATAAATTTTGTTAGTCGAACTCACCCTTGAATTATTTTCTCTTTAAATTAAAACATTCTGACCTTAATTTTGGATCAAGATGATGTTACAAATATATTTCAAGAATCGGAAAGAAATTTGAATTAAACCTCATTGAAGTTTAAAGAAACCAAAGTTTTACAATTCATGCAAAGTTTTTCTGTTATTGAGAAGACATTGGCATCGTTCAATATTTTATTTAATGATGTTAAACCTTAATTTTGCAGAATTTGATTCTGGTTCTGCATTATCAAGTAGAAGATAACGTTTTTCATTAATAGAAATAATCTTTAAACGCATTAATAATATTGTCTACTAATATAATGTTCACGGGTATAACCCTTTCACAATATTGCAGTAATTATTTTGTATTTTAGAAAAGGGATTATTTCTGAATTTTCAAATAAAGTATAGAATAGGAAAGCATTCCTTTGTACAATAATTATGCGTATAAGAATATCATAAAAGTTATGTACTCATTATTATAGGGAACATGTAATAAATAATTTTATGGTCATAAAGATGTTTCTCATTCATAGTTCCCCCCCCCCCCCCCCTTCCGAAAATAATAATAATGATTTCTAATAAACACGTTAAAAAATCCAAACGGATGTATTAAATAATTTACAATGTATATACTATAAGTAAATAAAGCTTTTCCAACCCACCTATTATAGGAATTAAAGGATTAATGATAATCATAATAATGAACAATTAAAGATAGGCAAAGAATAATTTGGAAATGAATCAATGAGGGAGAAACAAAGCTTTCACATTATTTCATTATTTCAGTAAATTGTGATCATATTTCCATCATGTGTTTTCCATGATTTGGACAATAAATGAACAATTAATAATATTAAAATGCAATATTTATCATTTATTGTAATGGTCAGTTTGTTCGAATTTTATTCTCCGCAATTATCTTCCTCTTTTTAATTACTAAACTTAAAGTAAAAGAATAAACAATATTCTATAAAAATTACGTTGTTTCATACATTAACATTTAATCGATATTATTTGTCGGTCATTTTTTTTAAAAAAAAAACTCCTTAAACCTTCTTCATTGACAATTACATTTAATAAGACGCAAATAATTTAATTAATTAATTTGTATTCTAACTTTTTTCTAATTATAACGCATTTAAATTTCGCGTTTTAGAATATAAAAAAAAAACCTAATTTGTCTTCATTCTGAGTGTAATTCCTAAATTTTCCCCAAATAGATAAACAATAAATATTTAATTCGATTTGTGAAATCTTGTTTTATACATCAATAACCTCAACGACTGTAATATAATAAGTATCACTTAAATTTCTTTTTTAACAAAGAAAAGTAAACGTATGCAATAAAGAGAAAACATGATACCATGCTGACAATGAGTCTCACTATACACGCATATTTTGAAATATTAACTTTGAAATTTCATTTCAACGCAACACGTTATTTTAATTTAAACCAGAAAATTTTCAAATTCATCAATTTTAGGAATTATCTCATGTATTCTAATAGCATTTTCATATGAATCTTTTTTACAAGAAATAAAATAATCTTTAAATCTATCTCTTCACCAAAGTCAACGATCGTCATGAGAAAAACAGATTTTGAATAGTACAGTTGCATAATAATCGACCATGAATAGCAAATTTCTTGAGAATTTATTAATTGACTTTACTAAACTTCTTGAGAATGGCTCATCGAAATTGGAGAATATCTATTTAATAATACTTTTAAAGTTCACTCGCAAATGTTATATTGAATTCTCAACCATTATCACCAAAGAACATACATCACAAATTGATATTCCATATGATTTTAAAATAATTGTAGTCTTTTTGAAAAAATTTCAAAATACATTATTGATTTTATAGATTGATAAATACTAGGTGGTTAGACGTGTAGCATCCTTTGGACTTGTTTTTTCAAGAAAGATCCCTGATTGCGATTGGACCACCTTGATTTTCAAAAATAAAAATCGTTATTATATAATGTGAATTTTGTTTGATAAAAGAAAATGGACTTTTTAATTTGCAAACTTGTAAAATCTTTACTTTAAGTCACAGAGTCATTATATTGAGATTCAAGGTATACCTTCTCCGACCATAGAAGAAAATTCACTTACATTGACAGTGTTCTTGGCACGTTTCACAACTATCGCAACTTATTCGCTCATAACATTCTTTACAGCCTTGATTAATAAATTAATAAAAAAATTAACTATTAGCAATGAAATATAATTTTTAGCAGTTCAGATTTTCTGATCATAAAATTAGAAAATTTACTTACATTGACAGTGTTCTTGGCACGTGTCACAACTATCGCAACTTATTCGCTCATAACATTCTTTACAGCCTTGATTATTAAATTAATAAATAAAAAAGTTAACTATTAGCAATGAAATATAATTTTTAACAGTTCAGATTTTTCTGATCATAAAATAAGAAAATTATTTACATTGACAGTGTTCTTGGCACGTGTCACAACTATCACAACTTATTCGCTCATAACATTCTTTACAGCCTTGATTAATAAATTAATAAATAAAAAGGTAATTATTATTAGCAATGAAATATAATTTTTAGCAGTTCAGATTTTATTGAATCTCAATTTCTGAGACCTGCTCATCTTTAATAGATGATTCAAGATAAGAAATCTTACTTACATTGACAGTGTTCTTTGCATGTGTCACATCTATTGCAACTTATTCGCTCATAACATTTTTTACAACCTTGATTAATAAATTAATAAATAAAAAATTAACTATTAGCAATGAAATATAATTTTTAGCAATTCAGATTTTCTGATCATAAAATAACTTACATTGACAGTGTTCTTGGCACGTGTCGCAACTATCACAAATTTTTCGCTCATAACATTCTTTACAATCTTGATTAACAAATCAAGTTATTATTATCAATGAAATACAATTTTTAGCAGTTCAGATTTTATTGAATTCTAATTTTATAGACTCTGAAACTTGCTCATCTTTAATAGATAATTCAAGATATACCTTCTCCAATATAAAATAAAAATTTTTACTTACATTGACAATGTTCTTGGCACCTGTCACAACTATCACAACTTTTTCGTTCATAACAATCTTTACAACCTTGATTAATAAATTAATAAATAAAAAGTTAATTATTAGCAATGAAATATAATTTTTACAGTTCAACTTTTATGAAATTTAAATTTTATAATGACTCTGAGACTTACTCATCTTTATGATTGATTTTGAAATAATAAAAAATTGTCATTAAATAAGTTATTTTTTTATTTATATACATTGATACATTGATTCCAACCATTTTTGGAAACAATAAAAATAGTTTTTTTAAAAAAACTTCTTGATCAGGCTGTCAAAGAAAATAGTATTATATTTATTGTTTCTGATCATTTTTGAAAACAATTAGTTTTATATTGTCAAAGAAAATAATGTCAACTTTTTTATCTTCATTGTTTTTATAAACATATACATTCAATATACAATGGATATAAACTATTTTTATTTAACTGCTGTTGTCTAGATTATTAAAAATATAGTAATTAATTTGAATTTTGAATTTGGACTATGGTAATTTTATAATTTAAGTAACATATATAATATAAATAAATATAAGAAATTGTTGATGTATCACTGTAAAGAAGATACATTCCTTGTATTGGTGTTGGAATTCTTCAGTATATCAATTTTTATTATATTCTAGTTTGCCTAATATCAATATGTGTTCAGGAATATTAAAGACTAAAATTGGTAAATTTATTCATTTCAATTTATGATCTTAAAATAAGATCAAAAGCTCTAATTTACAAATTAATCCTAATGCCTTAATTTTATTGAAGTCTTCTTTACTAGGTAATTTAGTTCTACATTACAATTTACATGTTATTAAACTATTGAATTTAGTCCGATGTATGAAAAATGAATCAAGTCATATTAATTATATAGACATAATTAAATTTCAGTAATTAAGTCAAAGGCTTTTTACATGTATAATTACAATCATTAATCTTAAATTTAATTCCTTTTACACATAGTATCTGAATCAAACACAATCTTAATTGGTATTGTTTCTTCAATAATGTAGAATAAAACATGCTAAGTATATTATTTGAAATATTGAATATTTGAAATTAATTTTAAATATATAAAGTAAAATAACTATTCTATTTAATATATTTTTAATCAATGAATTTAAAATAATTTTGTTTTTTATAAAACTATTTCAAATAGACAATTTTGAATATATATAGTTTGAACTATATTATATAAATTCAAAATAATTTTGAAAAAATAGTTTTTATAAAAGATAAAATTATTTTGAATTTAACTTTCAAATGTGAATATTAGATATAATAATTACAGATTAGTTAAAATTAATTGTCTTATTGTATCCTATATTATAATCAGCAAAAATCAGAATTCTTTTTTGATACAGTATATCTTTTGTATTTGACCTGTGTAATTTGACATTGTTACAGAATGAAATTACTATAAAAAAATATAGTACATAGTATTATATAATACCTGCAAATAATTAGAAAATAGAATAATAAATCACACTGGTCGAAAATTGATAAATAATACACATATCGGGTACCCGATATGTGCATGGTACGTCCCTAATATCAGACATATATCGGGTATCCAATATGTGTAGAAAATATTTTATTACATTTATCAGGTACCCGATATATATATAAAATATTTTCTGCACATATTGGGTCCCCGATATATGTCCGATATTAGGAACGTACCATGTACATATCGGGTATCTGATATGTGTATTATTTATCAATTTTTGACCAGTGCTATCTGCTTATGTAAAACAATAATATCAATTTTTATTAAAGATAAATGGTGACGATCTGATTTGATAAGTAGATCAATGGTAATAATGTTTTTACACCTATCGGGTATGATATTAAATAATATTTTTTATAGTTAAAAAAGTTACTGTACAAAAGAATCGACCTAGCAATTAATATTGTGTACAAACTGCTAAAAGTGTCAAAAACCAAAATCAGATCTTCGATATACACTAACAGAAGTTGAAATACCAAAAAACACTCCAATTTGGATGTTAAATATGGCAGCACTTAGAAAATTAAAGTGGGAAAATAGAATCGTTCCGATCTATAATCCAGATACCACTGACCAAGATGATGATGATAATAATAGTGATGACAATAATGATCATGAAGTAGGAACAAGTAGTAAAAAAAGAAAACGGAAAGATAATAATAATGATCATGAAGTAGAAACTAGTAGTAAAAAAAGAAAACAAAAAGGAAAGGAAAAAGAAAAAAAGAAAAAATCAAAAAAAAAATCAAAAAAATAATTAGATAGATTATTTTATATAGTATATATAATATATTTCATTTTATACTTTTCATAATAAATGTATTTCATTTTATTATCTTTTTTATAATAAACTAAAATTATGATTATTTGCAAATAAAAAAAAAGTGAAAATATATATATACTATATGCATTAGAAAATTTTTTGGGACGTAAATTTCCGTAATACAAATGGGATCCACAGAAATTTACGCACAAAAATTTAATTTTTGACTTTGGTCGCAATTTACGAGACAGGATGCGATTTTTTATTAAGGTATTTCTATGACAGATCGAAAGTCCTGGTTCTTGGCTACAACATGATATGTAAATTATTCCTGTAGTATCAATATCCGCGGAGATATGCACGTTTAAATTTTGAACATCTGTGAAAAATTCGGCATAAATTTTCCGTAAATTTTTGTAATTCTGCTAGAAATTTATCGTAATGTAATGAAAATTTCCAGCAGAATTACGAAAATTTACGGAAAATTTATGTCAAATTTTCACAGATGTTCAAAATTTAAACGTGAATATCTCCACGGATATCAATGCTACAGGAATAATTTACATATTATTTTATAGCCAAGAACCAAAGCTTTCGATCTGTCATAGAAACACCTTAGTAGAAAATCACTTTCTACGACCAAAGTTAAAAAAATTGAATTTTTGAGTGTAAATTTCCGTGGGTCCCATTTGTGTTACGAAAATTTACGCTCTGAAAAATTTCCTGATGATATAAATAAAAGGTACTGATAGATACCCAATAGAGGGAAAAAAACTACCTGATATACAGAGATATACTGTACCCGATATATAAGGATATACTATGGCCAATTTATAAAAGATATATACCCAATAAAAAAAAAAATAAAATCGGGAGCCTGATATATGAATGATGAATTTGAATAAAATGTCAAAATATTAATATCTAATATGAAACTGATATGGGTCTGATAAGTGTTTGAACTTCTGCATTTCGACCTCACCAATCGGATGCCCGATATATTATATAATTGTTAATATCGAACACCTATCATATACCTATCGGGCTCCCGATAGGTATACGATAGGTGTTCGATATTTCCTATTTCGACCAGTAGTATTCACTATAAAACTATATCTGCCACCCAAATTTAAAATCCAAATGTCGAAATCCCAAATGCCAAAATCCCAAATCCCAAATCTCAAATTATGATTAGTATTTTTTGCCAAAATCCCAAATCCCAAATCCCAAATATTAGTAATTTGGGATTTGGGCAACACGTATACATGAAGATGGGAAAAGTATAAAAGGTAAATACGAAACTGGATCCTATTTTATTATATGTGAAAAGTGTGAAATTGAGATAATGGCATAAATTGTAAAGTTATCCAGGTATATCCACTATGTGACAAGTTTCCTGATTTCAAATGTTTGTAAATTAGTTAGATTCGAAAGGCCATCACTTTGCAATACTATATTTATTTTTTTTTATAATTGTTATGCACAACTCATAATTTGAATTTGCAATCATATAAAACAATAACATGGATAAACCCTTAACCCCCGAATATTTGAACTGACATGCTAAATTGGTTGATTTATCGAGTCATTTGATAAATAAAATTTGTTTGAGCTTATATAGAGCATATATGGAAGAGACTGGACTTGATCCTTGGATAAAGTCTGAAGTTTCTGAATTCTCACAGATCGAAAATGCTAATAATCATCTTTCACGAGAATGTATCATTAAAATTTCCAAGTTTCTGGAAGAGAAAAGTACAATCCATGAAGTAGTACATAAACACTTCCCTTTTTTGTTTTACACTAATTTGAATGTATGGCATCAAAATATTTTTAAATATACTGATTCAGAAGCTAAATGTCCGATATGCAAAGATGTATATACTATA